TTACAATCTACATTTTTTTCTTAGTTTTCATTTAATAATTATTACATATTTTCACGAAGATCTTAATTTTCTTATAATAACCTATTTAATTCCTCTTATATTTAATCAACATTATATATTCGTTCTTTTAAATCTTAATTTTCTAACTAATATTTATTCAAATTATGATTAAGTCTATCTATATCATTTTTATATTAAATTATTAGTGTTTCCAATTCTCTATTTTTTGAAAGATCTTATTATTGTAACATAGTTTTCAATTCTGTATTTTCTTTTTTGATTTAATAATGCAATTCCTTGAATTTTTATAATTCTTTCTCTATGTATTCCATTTATTATTACCAATTTATATCATTTTCTTATTAATGTTTTTACTATTAGATATGAAAAATCTCAATACCAATAATTTTTATGCTTCAAGATCTTTTTATTTAATAATAGCTAATATTTCATTTTGTTTTTATTCTTCAAAGTCTCTTAATTTAATTCTTAGTTTTTCGATATCATTTTTTAATATAGTCTAATTATCTTCACTTTTTTCATGATATTTTATTATTTCTTCATAATTGTATTTGATTTCTTCCTTCTATATTACAACTGTTTAATATTATTGCTCTAATTAATCCATTTTCTATTTTAAATCTATAATCTATTATTCAAGATTCATTGTATTAAATTATTGATCTTCCATATTTTTTAACCTTTATTATAGCTTATAATTTTATTCACTAAGTCTTTCTAGTTCTATGGCCATTATAAATATTTGCATTTATTTGGTAATATTTTGAATTCTTCGATCTTATTCCCCATTATTTACAGACTCTATTCTTGTTTGCAAACTCTAGCCATTACTCTTAACAGATGTAATATTGGTTTCGACTACTCTATTTGTTTTAACTTAATAATATTCCATAGAAAATATTTAATAATTGTATTTTCATTCTTCAGAATCAATAATTAAACTCATTAGCATTAAACATCTCTACTACATCCAATACTTCAGATATTTCTTCACTTATTCTTCATTTTAAATCTATTCGAATGGTATCTACTCAATTTTTCTAAATAATTTGAACCAGAATGGAAATTCCTATAATTCTGAAGCAAATTAAAAATAACCTTAATCTTCTACAATTTAATCAACTTAAATAATATTAATTTTATATACTTGCATTAAAACCTTTTTCAGCAATATATTTACAAAGTGTAAAATCATCAAAATTAGTCCATTCTTCATTTTTGTATATTATTTATTCTTAATCTTTTTGTACTTTATTTTTTTGGTAATCTAAAAATGATTGATATATAATAAATATACTTTCATGCTTTATAGTAAATTTTGCTTATCTATTTTAATAGAATTGATATTTCTTTTTCAAATACATCAATCCACAAATTCTATAAAATATATCCTTTGGATTTATTTTACAAAATGCAATATTTTTCTTTTCTCTAAATTATTCATAATCAAGAAGCAAAGAATAAAATTCTTTTACATACTTTTTAAATTCTTCATTACTAGGTTTATACTCAGCTGAAAAACATTAAGGTTTCTCTCTTTATAATCTATAATAAATTAAATACTAAGATTATTACACTTAATAAAACTAATCAATAGAATCGAAATCCATTCCAAAAGATAAAACAAAATCAAGAAATTCTATTCTATGATAAGCAGTAAAACCATATATCACAATATCATTTTCTACACTAAGTTATGCTAATTCTGAATGTTCAAGAACTGTCTATTAAAAAAATCTCATGATTTATAAATCTTTATCAATTAACTTCTGCATTCTTTCAGATACTACTTTTTAATCTTTCTTATTCTCATCATTTTCTTATTCTGATCCTGTTCCTTAACTTTAATCAGATGGACTATATTAAGATGATGAAACTAATAATAATAATTAATATATATAATATACATTAATGATAATCTTCGTGATAGTTTGGCATGTTTTACTTTTTCAATCTTTTCCCTTTTCCAAATTCATCCTATTCCTTTTCTGCAAATCCTTTAGCTTCTTCATCTAAAAAAGTTTCCCAATATTTATCTAAGTTCACATTTTAATGACTCTCTTCTCCTTCCTTTTCTACTTATTCCAAATTAAAACTTGTAAATTTAAATCCTGACAAATAATAATCATTGATATCATTTTTTTTTAAATTAACATATTACTAATCAGATTACAATTCTATATCTCTTTACAATAATATATTTAATTATTCATCAGTAAATTCTTAGTCTTTCTCTTCCAAATTTTTATTGAATAATTCCCATGTACTCTCTTTAAAGATGGATTAGAAATCATCTTTACTAAATTTATTAATTGGATTTATAATGATTTCTTCTAAAAGTAATTTTTTAGTTGCTATCTAAATAATTCTTTCTTCAGCTGTGTATTTACTTACTAATCTAAACACTTTCACTTTATTTGTTTAACCCATTCTGTGAGCTCTACTAATTGCTTAAAGATCTCTATAAGGATTAAAATCACTATCAGTAAAGATAATTGTATCAGCAGATGTTAAATTAATTCCTAATCCTCCAGCTCTTGTTGATAATAAGAATATTTTTGATTTACCAGATGAATTATTAAATGAATCTATTATTCTTTATCTATCCATTATACTTGTAGTTCCATCCAATCTTTCATAACTATATCCTCTTAATTATAGATAATGTTGCAGCAAATCAAGCATCATTGTAAATTGACTGAAAATAAGCATTTTATGCTACATCTCCAATAATCTAGGTATGATTCTATCTACAAACTTCAATTTATTTGATTAATTAATCATTTCTTCAATATCTTCATTAGGAAATTCTCTTTTATAAGTAAATAAATAAGGATGATTACATACTAAACGCAAAGACATTAAAATATTTAATAAATTAGCCTTGCTTGCTCCCTTTTTTTAATCTAAAACTTTTAATTTTTCATAGTTTCTTAACATAACATTTTTATATAAAAACTTCTATTTATCAGTCAAACATAATTTAATAATAATTTCTTCCATTTCAGGAACTTATAATTTGACATCAGCCTTTGTTCTCCTTAGAATATGAGGTTTTAATAAAGAATTTAATTCTGTAAGAGTAGTCTTTTTGACTTCTTAAAAATCTTCTAAATCTTAATTATTGAATAAAACATTTAATTGTTCTTTTTTTAGTTATTTAACTTTTTATGGAGCAATGAATTCAATTAGATTAATTAATTCTTATAAATTATTTTATAAAGGAGTGCCTGTTAATAAAATAATGTGCTGACTAGAAAATTGAGAACAAACTTTAAAGAATTTAGAATCATTATTTTTTAATCTATGAGCTTCATCTATAATTAAGCATTCCCAATTAATTTTTTTAATTATTGCTTAATCTATGATAGCTATATCATAACTAGTAATCAAGACATTAAATTTACACACATTATTGTTATTACTATAATAAAATTCTTTAGCTTTGATAATATCTCTACTTTCTTAATTTCCTGTATAAACAATGACATTAAAAGTTTCTGCCCATTTTTTTAGTTCTTTCAACCAATTATATAATATTGTAGCTGGTCCAATAATTAGAAATGGTCCTGACTTTTTATGTTCATATTATAAAAAGTTCAAAAATGAAATAGTTTATATAGTTTTTCCTAATCCCATTTCATCAGCGAGAATTACATTATTACTAGTTTCATATGATTTTTATAACCATTATAATCCTTATAATTGAAATTAATGTAATTGACCTCCAGTTATCCATACAGGTTGATTCTTCTTACTTTTTCCTTAAGCAACTTTCAAAAATTATTTAATAAATTAATCATATTCTGGAGTACCATAAGTTTCTTCTAATATTTTAGATTTTAGAAATCTTTTAAATTCATCTCTATTTTTTTCCATAATAAAATAAGCATCTTCCCAACTACTTTCTTCGTAAAACATTCTTGACCATTTAATTAAAAATTTATAATTATTTTTAGTTCCATATTGTGTTATCTTAGGCATCTCCTAATTATAGATTTCTCTCCATGTTTTCTTTTAATCATTTGCTCCTCTTTTACATCCTATAATTCTTTCAGGTTCTAAATATTCTAAAATATCTTCTTCAATATAATTTAGTGAAGCCTATAGATCAGCATCATTATCATTCTCTAATGTATCTTATTTACCTTCATTTTTTTCAATATAATTTTTCAATTTCCTTTAATTTACTATTTGTACTTAAGCTTAACTAAAAAAGTGACAATGTAAATATGATGATTATTCGAGCAAAATTAAATAACATTATTTTTCTTTGATTTTCAAATGAGTTAATATTTATCCAACTCCAAAGCTTTATAAACATCTTAAACAGCAATGAAATATCAAAGGAGAAGTCTTTGTCGGTCTATCAGCCAATAATAATTATTAAAATTGTTCTTCTGAAATTTGTTTCCGATTGACTGGTGATCTAAGAATAGCTTCAAAAGGAATGTCTTTTAAAATGCATTCAAAATGAATAAATGTATTACATTTAGAACAAATTATTTTTTCGTTTGTACTTTATTCATCACAATAAGGACAATAAGATTATTCATATTAACAACATTATGGACAATACCAAGAACCTGCAGGCATCTTTTTAATTCCAACACATGCCATATGAAAAGATCTATAGCAAGAATCACAACACAACAAAGGTCTATTTTTTTATCTACATTTCCAACAATAGTCTTCATTATAATCTGATTCATATTAACTATCTGATTATTCATCTTCTTCTTCCTCTACTTCCATTGATGATTCCTAGCTTAATTTTCTTAATTTCCTAGATTTCTATGATTTTTCACATGATTTGATTATTTAATCTATTTCCTCTTCATCTTGAAACTACATTGATAAAAAATACAAAATTTACCTTATATCGACTAGGTTTCCTTACTCTTTTTTCTTGATTCTCGCGCTAATTGTTACTTCTCATTAAATTATAATAAAATTAAAACAAATTTCACATAATCTCATAAATCATTTCAGTATAGTTACCAATTATTAAACAAGCATTCTATCATATTATCCTCCAGATTGATGATTCATTTAAATCCATTTATGTATAGCCATCTATTCTAATCTCAATCTTTAAGAGGGATCCTTTCTTAAACAGCATTTTGAAAAATCTTATAATTCATTAGAAACATATTTAGGAAAATCAACTCTACCTTCTATGATCTTTCTCATTGTATCTTCTTTAGATGATTAATAAAAAGGAGTGGCTCCTGTAGTCAATTCATAAGCTAGAATTCCAATTGACCATAAATCAACCGAATGATCATAGTCTTATCCAGAAGCTATCTCAGGAGACATATAATCAATTGTTCCACAAAAGGATTATCTTGGTTTTGATTCTGGTGAATATGTAGCTAATCCAAAATCTGCAATTTTTAAAAATTACTAATTTTATTCATATGTATTACTAGACTAATTAATATATTTTCCGGTTTAATATCTCTATGTATAACTTTCATTTTATGCATATAGGATATTCCCTCAACAATCTATGCTATATAATTTCCTGCTTTATTTTCACTAAATCTTCGATTAGGTTGCTTCTTAAGCAATTTGTATAATTCACCATCTGGTGCATATTCTAAAATTAAAACAATCTTTTATGATAATCTTTAATTAAATACTTTAGTTTATTCTTAGAATACACCATAAAGTTTAAGGATGTTTGGATGATTGAGATAGCTCTATATTTTTATTTCATGTGCTAACTAAGCTTCCATTTTATATTTACTGATGACACTTTTTTGAATTACTTTTAAAGCCACCAACACTTTTGATGTTTTCTCTCTAATTTAAATTAGTATTTTACTATGCTTAAAAGACATCACTAAATTTACCTTTTCCTAAAAATTTGCCTATATGGAATCTATCAGATATATTATGATATTTTGGACTTAAAACTTCAGCTGCCTTCATTTGCATTCTTAGAATGGAATTATGAGCAATTGATGAAACTGGAGATGGACAGTCTGTAGTTTCAGGAGTTCTAATAGGAGATTTAGATGCACACTATCTCAGAGCAGGCTTTTCTCGCTTTTCAATAGATCTGCTGTTATGTTAAATGATTAAAGGAACATTTGTTTTCGGAAGGATAGGGTCAGGATTGTTAATTTTATTATTTTCTTCAGATTGAATAATAAGCTATGTCAATGCTGATTATAATCTCATTTTAATATTCTTTATTTATTAATCTATCTTGGTTGTTGTTTATACTATTTTTTACCATTCATTGTCTTCAGATTGCATAATTATATAATAATTTATTGAATATTATTATTCATATGGGAAGTGGAACATCAAACAATCAATTAAATAATTTCAGGTATCTATGATTTAGATTGGTAAGGATGCTATCTTTACTTTAAGAGCCTGAAAGATTGAAAACAGATCCAAGTGATTTTAATATCAGATGGGATGATACAACGTTGTTTTCGCATAAAAATAAACTCAAACATTAAACTAATCTTCTTGAATTCATTAGAAATGTACCTTCAAAAATAGTTCTAAATTAAAATCCATAAAATTTATAAGTCTTTAATGCTAAGTCTCCAGGGATCAAAAAGCCATTTCTTGATTATGCTACTACTAATCTAATTGATGTGATTAGGAAATCAAATAAAATAGAGGTAAGAATGTGTATATTGTATGAGAAAGTAGAAATATCAATGGAAAAATATTTGAGTATTAAAGAATCCTAAATGCTAAGTTCATAAAGGTAAAAACAACCTAGGAGATCATTATAAGTCTAACATACATTAGAAGTTGTCTAAACTTCACATTTAGAGAAGAGTGTTAATGAAGAAGGCATGGCATAAATTAACTAATATACTGTCTTAGAATCTTTGGGACAGGGAGCCTTTGGAAAAGTTAAAAAAGCATAAAATTTTAAAGGCGAAATCTTTGTAGATATATTAATTTGATTTTATAGGCAATTAAAATTGCAAATAAAAAAAAGCTAAAAAAGAAACTGCTTTCAAAATCAAATGCTTATACGATGTTAGAAAGAGAAATAGCTATAATGAAAAAGGTATCTAGACTGTTAATTAGATATCTCATGAAAATGTTGTTCAATTATTTGAGGTCATTGATGACCCAAATAAAGATAAATTATATTTGGTAATGGAATACATGGGCAAAGGAAGTATATTAAGCAAAGGATTCTTTAAAAAATAGAAAACTACTTCTAATATATTAGATGAAATTGAGGATAAAAATCCCTTGTCTAGATTAACAGAAGAATAATGTCGACATTACTTTTCTGATTTTATCAAAGGATTGTATTATTGTAAAATAGTATTTATATATTAAGTACATGAATGTGTCAATGTGATTCATAGAGATATTAAACCAGAAAATCTTTTAGTCAACATTAATAATTAACTTAAAATTGCAGATTTTGGAGTTTCTCATATTATGGAAGATGGAGGAGATGGAAGAATATCCAATTAAACAGGTACTCAAGCATATTTAGCTCCAGAAGTATTCAAAGGTATGAATCCTATAAATCATTTAGGATAGAATTTTGATGGAAAGCCAGTTGATATTTGGGCAGGAGGTGTAACTTTGTATTAGATGGTCTATGGAAAACTTCCATTTACAAGTTAAAAGTCTATGGAATTGAGACAACAAATATTGGAAGAGAAGTTATTTATTTTTTTTATTTAGTCCTCCTTTTATTTAACCCCTAGGATTTTCTAATTCAATTATTAAATTATTGTAAGGTTTATTATAAAAGGTTCCTGAAAAAAGAATGAAAATTGATTAAATAATAATGGATGATTGGGTAACTGATTTTGGTAAGTAGCCAATTATTAATTAATTTATTGAATATGTTGATGTCACAGAAATGGATATTCGATTTGCTTTAACTAGTCTCAATATTTAAATGGCTTTGAAAATAGTTGTAAAATTGTTGTATTAAGCTAAAAAAGCTAGAAGGAAAATAGCAGAAAGAAAAAAAATATAAAAATGATCATAAAATAATCTTTATATTAGAACATCAATTTTATTATTTTGTATTTATGATTCATTACATAATGCAGAACTTTAGAAATTATTTTTATAATAATGACTTTCAGGTATTCTTCAGAACTAACACTGAACATTTATGAAAAACCTCCACAAAATCCAGAATGGCTTTAAAAGTAAGAGAATATAGATTTAATCTTGAACAAGATAAAATAACATAATATGCTTAAGAGAATTCATTATACAAATAATGAACAACTTTAAGTAATGGATCTATTAATTTTAAGGAAAACGACCCTTTATTACTCAGAAGTCATAGACTTAACAAAAAATTAGAAGAATTTGATCATTACCATGAAGAATAGTTAGAAACTTATAGAAAGATTTTACAATCTGATAGAGAGTAGATAACAAATGCTATGTCTCAAAGAAGAAGAATGGGTTCATTTGTTAAGCATGTGAGAAGCATTAGTACAACAGTTTTGAAGCCGTACTAAATTTATTTTTAACAGTAGACTTATTTAAGTCAATAATATTGTAAATCTATAAGGGAATGAGAAAAAGTCAGATAACCATATTATAATGAGATAAAAAATTAAATCAATATAAGAAAATAGAAAAACAATAGATAATTGTTCTAAAAGACTTTAATAATTATTTAAAGAGGATTCATCTAATTAAGTTTCCAGAGTTTAGAGTCATTTGGAACAAAGATAAAAAAAGAAAAAAATTTCAATTGACTTAATTAGAAACCTTTATTGAATTGTAAAATATAATATATGTTTATGTATCTTTTAAAGAAAATTTAAAGCCATGAAATTATCTAAAATTCAAAGCATAAATTACTTTACTATTTAAAATGCATACTTCTACTTCTATTACTAATAAACACTAATCCTTCAAGAGAGTAAAAGAAAGACTTGTTTGTGAGGCAATTGAGAAAGTTGAGAGATGGAGATTAATGTTTACTGAAGGATTATAAATTAATAATGGTGAAATAATCAAAGTCACCTTAAATTAGGCTGCAGAAATAGTTGGAATTCCCAAAAAAACTCTTGAGGATTATACGCAACTATTTAAAAAAGTGAAATTACTTACTGCAGATATATAGCAATTTTCTAACGAAAAAATGGGATTTCTAAGAAGCTATTTGAGAAAGAATCAAAATAAACTTAAAAAGAAACTTAAAGAAATGAGGCTTAAAGAAATTGAAGCCTAAAGAAAGACTTAAGAAATCATTTAAGAGTAAAATTAATTACTAAAATAAAAATTACATGATGACCCTGAAACCACAGATATTTGTGGATCTAATTAAGAATCATCAAATCTTATGATAATATGTGATGATCAAAATTATATTGATGCAGATATATAATTTATACAAGTATTTTGAATGTTTTTATATTTTATTAGGAAGAAGAAGATTTAAATTTTTAAGATTTTGAAAGCCACCAATATTATTTTAACAGAGTGGGCAATTTCTAATAAGAAGAAGATATTGATAATTATTTCCAATCAACTTAATGATAATGAATGAAATATTTATTTTAAGTACATATTAAACATTATTATTATAATAAAGTGATCATATTAAATTTGTTAAAATTTTTTATTAAATATTTATTATCATATAATATATTAATTATTAATATGTCTTTTTCTTTTCAAATAAATTGGGTATATGCTAAATCCATATTAGAGGAATTAGATGGTATTTCAATATACTTCTTTATCAAAAATTAGATGAGTGAAAAATCTTAATAATTAATTAAAATAATTTTAGATGGTAATCAAAATGAATTAATTTGTTGTTTAACAAAATAGATTTATAAATACTTTTGTTAACTATAAAACCTTTAAATAGATGAATAATTAAAGATCAATACATTTGATGTTTAATTAGCATAATAATTTTATTAATATCTATCAAATATTCAAATTTAATTAATACAATAGTCTTTATTATTAACATTAAACATGGACACAGATATCGACTACTTTTACTAAATTGAAACTATTAATATAGATAAAAAAAAAATGGATATGCTTTTTTAAGTATTTGAATTAATATATGGATAAGAATTTGGGAATTTAAGAAATTCGGGAAAAGGCATTAAAATTATATTTATTGAATATTTTAGACGAATATTAATAAAAAAGTTTGAAGGATATAAATTAAATTATAAAAAGCAGAAATAATTGATGTTATTATAAAATGGAGACATGTATTAATTAATTTAATTTTAAGAATAGTCTCTAAATTCAATAATTAAAAGACAATCTCATTATCAACAAGTAAGATTATACACTATTAATAACCACGTTTCTGTTAATAATAAAAATTATTATTAGAATTATCATCAAGGCAAATTGTTAGTGAAGGTATTTTAGACGATAATTTTGATTAGAATGGTTATACAAATATTTATTCATAAGATTAATTGATTTATTAAGGTATGATGTAATATGGATTATTTAATGGTGAAGGAAGAATAACTAATAAATAAAATTTAATCATTTATAAAGGAGATTTTGTTTAAAATAAAAAACATGGATATGGAACTATCCTTTATAATCAATAGTATTTTTATGGATTATTTAATGATGATATGATGTGTGGACCATTCTAGGTATTTGATGAACAAAATGGAATAACCTATTATTTTTATAATGATAATTTAATAGATTAATAAGAGTTTTTAAAATAAAGTACTTATACAATAACTTCTGAATAAGGAGTTTAGACTATTTCCAAATTTATTTCAAATAAAGAAGTTTCATAAAATATATGTTCATATAGAGAGTTTAACATTTAAATTTAAGCATATAAAGCATTAAATCCTGGCATTTGGTTATTTGAAAATTCCATAGATTACTTTTTGGATTACTTCAAGAATTATTATAGTATTATTTAAAAAGTTTAAAATTTGTAAACAGTTATTTTTAATACAAATGAGAGCTCAAATTTTATTAGTTGTGATTATAATAATTAGTTCTATCATAATGAGAAGTAAATAATGATAAAAAAATAATAGATTTTATTAGGAATTGAATTAAAACATTAAAGATAAGAGAAGAAAAGTATTTGTTATGAATTGTGAAAGATCACATTATTTGATAATGATAGAAGACAACAAATAACTATATGTTTGTGATTCATTGTATTCTTAAAAGAAAAATCTTGAAGCTGCTTATTATAATTTACTCAAATTAGAAAATAAAAGATGCATTGTTTTGAATTGTACTTAATAGAAAAATGCATATGATTGTGGTATATTTGCATTGTTTTATGCAATTTAATTTATGAAATATGATAATTTAAATATGATTGAATTAGAGAAAAAATTGTAATGTAGAGATCCTGCTTAATTTAGATGGGAATTGAAACAATTAGTAAAATATAATCATGATTATATATTAACAAACTTTTGAATTTTAAAATAAATAATGAGTAAACTATTCTTTCAAGATTTCTTATCATCAAGAACAAGATCTATGTAAGAGAGAAAGAAGATAGTTAAAACACAATAAGAAATAGAGAGAATAAGTGAAAGAAAAATAAGTGAAACATTAAAATCTAACGAACATATAGTTGATGAACTAAGACTATACAAAATGAAATTAGAGAAATAAGTTCAAGATTATTAATAAAAAGTATTGCATTTATGAAAAATAGAATTTAGAATTGGTTGAAAAAGTATCATATTTAGAAGTATAAAATACAACATTATAATATGAATTAGAAACATCAAAATTGAAATTAGAAACTATAACTAATGCATAATAATCATCATAAACATAATAAATTAATCTATTGAAAGAATAAGTAGATTCATTAATTAAATATAAAACTGAGAATGAATCTTACAAAGTTTAAGTAGTAACATTAAAGAATGAGAATTAAAATAATTAGAAGGAGATTAAAGAATTAATAGAAACGAATGCTTCAATTAAATCTTAATTTTCAAGTATTATGAAAGAAAATAAGAGATTTTAATAATAATTAGATAATAGTTAAAATGAATTCTATAAATTATCTGAAAAGGTATTATCTTCATTTCAATAATATAGTTCAATTAATTTGAATCCATGTATCATAGTAAAATTAAATATTATGAAGAACTTTAAAAATAGTTTGAGTTAGAATAATAAAGAGGGAACTTTTAATATTAAGAATTAGTAAGAGAATTGCAACTATTAGAAAATGAAAATTAATAATTATACAAATAATTATAAATTAGTTAATTAGAAAAAGAAGAGAAAGATAAAAAAATAAATGATGAATAAAATTAATTAAAATTGGAATTACACAAGATCAAAGATGAAAATAAAATATTGGAAAAATCACATAGAACTTTAAAAATAGAAAAAAAAGTGATCTATGATAGTTAAAATTAAATCAAATAGAAAATTAATAAGTTAGAATAAGATATAAATTAGAAAGAATAAATTATAAAATAAATGGAATAAGATTTATAAGAAAAGTGTTTAATAATTCATTAACTTGAAAACATTTCTTATGGATTAAAATAGAGTGCTTAGGAAGGTAAAGAAAATACAAATTAAACATTATTATAATATAAGGATTTAATGAAGGAATGTGATTTATTGGAATAACAAATAGCAAGATTAGAATAAGATAATGATATTGTAAAAAAAGAATATGAATAAATTTTGTATGAATTAAAAGATTTACAACAAGAAAATAGATAATTACAAGATAGAAATGCTATACTTATTAAAGATAATTAATAAATATAAATTGAAAATACTAATTTATAAATGGAAATTCAGAATTTAAATTAAAGAGTTGTAGAATTATAATAATATGCAGTTGAATTTTAAAGAGAACTTAAAGATCATATAGAATAATAAAGTAAAATAAATCAATAAAGATCTTTTTAAAATTCTCAATATTTATAGAATTCTGCTACTTTAAGTAATCAAAGAAATAGTTATAATTCAATTCAAAGAGGTACTGATGATTCATAAGCTATGGGCAATTAATCACCATTATCTAATTAGACTACTACAGTGAATCAATTAAAAAAGTTAGTCAAATAATAATGTGTTGAAGGAAATTCAAATCTTGGTCAATAATCAATTGAAAATACAAAAAGACATTAAGCAAGAACTGATCATTTTTCGAATTCAAGTAAATTATAAACTGATAGATAATATGATGATCATTCTAAAGAAAATTGTTTATAAATATTATAAGATAAATATTATGCTTTAAGAAACAGAATTTATGAATAAAAAAAATGAAAATTTTAATTTATTAATTTATATAGTAAAACAAATATAAAATATCAACAATTCTTATTTTTAACTCTTAATGGATTTAAATCTTATTCTTAATGTTTTGATTTTATGAGTTTTGGTTTGATACATGTTTGATGATTTGTAATAATGTTTAAAGGCATTCGCTGGTTTTATGTTACTCGAGTGGCAGGGGGCATAGATTTACAAGTAGAAAGTGTAATAGGTGACAAGGCTCTTGAAACACTTTTTGTATTGCTTAATGAATTGTTTTGTAATAGGTTATTGAGTTGACCATATGTATCAATTAACAATTAATTTTAATTTTCTTCAAGTAAACCTTATAATTAATGTGGACTAGTGAACATAACCAAAAATTTACTACAGAGGATGCAAACGGCATTGTTTTCTCATATATAAAATAATAGCCATTGCTAAAATCTTAGTATTAATTTGCATCAATTAAGGTATTTTGTTTACTTGATAAACTATTTTGGAATGATCTTTTAGCATTTTACAACATACAAAATTAATCATATTGAAATCCATGATTCCATCATTTGTATCTGTAGAAAATACTACACCTATACATAAGAGACTTTAAACTTATTCATATAAAGTGTTAATTTTTAATTTCCTATAAGAATTAGTATATTAAATTACCAATTTAATGTTTTTAAAACTAAACATTCTGCTTATTTGTATTCATTTTTATTTAAATTTAAATCACTTGCTTTTTATAATTTACTCATTCCTGGAATATGTGAATCATCTTCAATCATTTTAGAACTGACCATCAAACATTGTAATGAAATCAATTTTGGATTATAACATTAAAGTAAATTTTAACATCTATCTAAATAATGAATGGCTAAATGAACAGTTTAATCAGTTAATTATAAGCTCTATTTTGTTTAATAAATGAAATCTATTAATTCTTCTCTTCGTTCATAATTTATGTTAATATTGCTTAGATCATCGAAAAGATTTTTTGCTTATTGATGACTCTTAAAGGAAATATGTTTATAAGCAACAGATCCATCTTTATAAATAGCTATTCCACATAATTTGCATATGCTTTTATTTGATTTATGTTGGCAGTTTAGCATTCGTTAAAAATTAAATATATATATATATGAATCATAAAGTATGTTTGCTTTTGCTTATGGTCTTTTTTTCTTCTTCTAGATTTTTGAATATTCAATATATATTTCTAATTTTATTTTTGCAAGTCTTTTTATCATGATTAGACCCCAAAAATCTATGGTTTTTTTAAAGATCTTTCTTTACAAATATTTGAAATAATATTAATGCTTAAAATTGAAAATCTGTTTATTTTTAGTTATCTTCTTCTGCTCTATATTATAATCAGTAAAATATCATTCTTATATTGTTATCTAAATCTACAATGATTTCTTTGTCTATTTTTTACATATTCATTTAATGATGTTATTATTTGTTTATAATGAATTTTGACATAAGCTACTTAGAAACTGAGTTTCATTATATTAAGTTTTTGGTTAGTTCTTAATGTAAAAACCTATATCTATGTTTATTAATGAGGATTAAATAGGCCATTATAAATTAAGGATTTTACATGACTTTAAAAAAATTTGTTAATGATACGCTTCATATTAAATTACTCTTCTTTTTCATTTACACCTAAATAGATTGATGAATATCTAAATAAAAAGATTATTAGACTTGCTTCTAATCTAAGGTGAAAGTTAGTTTTTTTTGAACTAAAGTTATTAGAGAATTAATTGGTATTGGATTTCCTTGCAAGTTTTATTGACATTTACTTTTTGATTAAGAACAATCAATATGAGATCTAATGTTTAAAATATCTATGGAATATCAAATTTCTCTAGAAACTTGTGATTTAAAATTAAATGCTCCAATTTTTAATTAATAATCCATTAAATGAATTAATCGGCAGAAAAACTACGACAGTATGCCCAAGAAAATGTGGTGTTTATACTCTAAAAACTAATGGAAGATATTCTGGCCTAATAGCCAAAAAATGTGGTAAATTAAAAACAAAAATTTTAGATTGATTGGTCTATTGCTTGGCTAGATAAAAAAGGAAGGGATATAGTGAAATAAAGATAGAAATAAAATATACATTCCTCATCCTCTGATGATGAAGTAATAGAATTGCCTAAAAGACCTGCTGCTGCTAGGAAATAAAGAGCCTCTATTTCAGCTGAAGCTTATGGATAATACAATAGAAAGGAGGTGTATATTTAATATTAAAATAACAGTCATTTTAACCTAGAGTGATTGTAAAGACTCAATAATAGAAGGAAAAAATAGGTAAAAGGTTAGAGTAATCTTTTATGTTTGCATCACTTGATTAAAGAGAAAAAGATATCGTAATTGATGCAATGGAAGAACGTAGTTATAAGTAAACATTTAATTAAAATATTAGTGCAGAGGATTGGGTCATCAAATAAGGAGATAATGGGGATAATTTATATGTCGTAGATTAAGGGGAGCTTAATTGTTTTAAGAGATTTATAAAAGATGGGGAAAACAAATTTTTAAAAGTATATTATCCTGGAGAATCATTTGGAGAGTTAGCCTTATTGTATAATGCACCACGAGCTGCCTCAATTCAGTGCAAAACTGATTCTATATTATTTGCATTGGACAGATAAACATTTAATCATATTGTTAAAGATGCAGCAATGAAGTATACATTAAAATATTACATTTTTAGAAAGAGGGAAAAATATGTAAATGTTCTTAAATAAATTGAATTGCTATCAATGATGGATCCATATGAAAGATCACATGTTGCAGATGCAATTAGAAGTGCCAATTTCTAAAAAGGAGATTTTGTTATTAGAGAAGGAGAATAAGGAGATATTTTTTATATGATAGAAGAAGGGGAATTGATAGCTACAAAAACATTGATTCAAGGATAAGAACCAGTTAAAGTCTTTTAATATAAAGAAGGTGATTATTTTGGAGAATTAGCCTTACTCAAAGACATTCCAAGATAAGCTAATGTTGTTGCTTAAGTAAATTGAGAATTTAATATATTTATAGACAGAAGTTAAATTAATATACTTGGACAGACATAGTTTCAAAAGAATGTTAGGGCCTTTAGAAGACATTTTAAGAAGAAACACTGAGAAATATCAAAAATATGAATAATATTGGATCAACTAAGGTAAATGAAAAATATATTTAATATTTTAATTTTTCTCTTTTTTTTTGTTCTTTTTATGATTTAATTAATATCAATAGTTTCAATTATCTTTTATGAATTATTAAAATCTTTAAAAGTTGAAAATATTGATATAATAAATAATTAATAAATTCTGTAATAATTTAATTTTTGAATTACTGAAGAGTTTCTTTACTTCAAAATAAGAAATTTCAAATTTAACGGCTTTTTAGAATGAAGATTCTAATAAAAATTAAGATATGAATTTTTATTACAAATAATCATTCATTCACATAACATCAAAAATTATTTTGATTGCCAAATAAATTATCTTTCTGCAGGAGGAGTCATTCTCAATAGGATATGAGTCTATTAATTCAATTGAATAAAATTACTCTTCTTGCTTACTATAAAATTGTTTTGCCTTCAAAATTATTAGTAATTGCTTCATTATAATCCAAAATTCCTTTGTTCCAAGGATCTGCTTTGTGATACAATAGTAACTAAGCTATGTCATTATTATTATGTAAAAGTGCAAGAAATAAAGGAGTTCTACCTATCATATCCTATGCATCAGGATCTGCACCATTTTTTAGAAGTATTAAAGCTGCAGTTTTACAATTTCTTACACAACACCAATGAAGTGCTGTCATAAAAGAAGGATCATATTCATAAACGAGATATTTTTCTAATTCTAAGAGCTATTAAATTTAATCACCCTTATTCATTTTACAAAAAGAAAAGAATTTTTCACTTTTTTGGCTTTAATAAGGAACCTTTGGAAATACATCTCCTTTTGAAAATTCTTCTAGTGTTAATTTTAATTTATGTATATGAGTCAATAATTACACCATTTCTAATCTAATTCTTTTATATTTTGATTATTTTTTCTATTATAATTAATTAACCCATGGTTTCACAGAATTTATTAATTTCTTTACAGTTCTACTACCAAACATTCGAATCTCTAATTAATAGTATATATACATTAAAATCTTCAATTGTTTTTTCTAGTGAACCTTCAATATGATAGAGTTACTCTTATTTTTCATATTATCTCACTGATTTGATATAGGCTACACTTTTACTTTATTATTCTGGATTTATAACTGGAGGTAAAACAATTAAATCATGTATTATTTATTATTATTCAAATGTTTATTATTATAATTTCAAGTTCTTTTTAATTTTTTGAACATTTGCTCTTTAATTAGATATATTATTTCGTAAAGTGATATTCTCAAATACTTATTTTGGATTAGTATAGTATTACTTTTTAAATATTTAATTTTCTTAAATATCTATAAATCTTGAAGGCTTATTATTGTTACGAATAGGTTTTTTGTCCTCAGCAATAATTGATCTATTTTTATTTTTTATTTTATATTATAAATTTTTATCACCACTTTGAGTAGGGATTAAAATATCTCTCATTAAGATACTTAATTTAACTTTAGCATTAGAAACATTAAGAGAATTGAAATATCCCAATTAGCTTATTTTTCTATTTTTTGGTTTCTATTAGAGTTAAATAGTTTAAGGTTCTTTCTTTTTGATAAGTTCAATAAGTGTACTCTATTCTGTTTTGACCCTTCTCATATATTTATAAATTATTTTATTTATCACTAGTAATATATACTTATTAATTTAATAAGACTTTTTATTTTGTTAACATAAATCAGGGAATACATTAGAAGATTGATACATATAGAACTCTGCGCTAAACTTTAAATTAGATTATATTAAACTATTTGTCTTTAATGAAATTCTAAAGTGAATAATTAAAATTTAATTAATCTTGCTAAATGTAATGCATGATTAACTTTTAAACAAGATTATAAAGATCTCTCTATTCTAATTTTTTTTATTGGTTTACACAGATTTATCTCAATTTTATTCTACTACTTGATTACACTAATCATATAGGTTTGATTCAATTATGAGGAGACTTAATAAAGTTATTAATTTGAAGGTAAAAATATGGAACCCTTAATAATTAAATATTATTTTAACATAAAGAATTTATGAATAAAATTATCCCTAAAAAATAATTAAACATATTTTTATTTAAAAAATAATAATTAGCTTTTATTTCTAGTTTTAAGGTTTAGAGATGAGTGAATGTTACTATAGTTCTTCTACAAAATTCATCTGAAGAGAAGGAACTCAAGATATTTATAAATTTATATATCAAGGATCTTTAACAATATTTCTATTTATTTGATTATCAATATACAAAAAACAATAGTTAATTAGAAAATACAATTTTATGGTAGAAAATCAAGGTTAAGTTTATATAAATAGATTCTGATTTTAATATAAAAATTATGTGAGATATTTAAAGAAATTTACAATCATATATAGTCTGTTTATTTATAATCTATTAATTATCTTAATTTTATATATCCAGAACTTTCTGAGATATACCACTATGCCAAAACAATAATTTAAATAATATAATATCTCTATTATCTCAAATGTCTTAATCATGTTCAATTCATGCTGAATAACGAAAATAATTTGTTTTACAAAAATCAATTAGGTTTAAATTCAACAATTTTTAAATTTGATTTATAAATGCAAGAGGGAGAATATATTATCATAATTGTAAGATGAAAACCTAAAAAAAAATATTGGTTAATACAAATACATTAGTATAAAAGATAAACTTTGAAAATGAATTTTAAAAGATAAAATATAAATTGTATAAAATTTAATTGGTTATACTTTTTTATACGCATTTCTTTTTTGAAAATTTTCTAAAAAATATACATATATAGGGATTTATCAATAAAATAATCATTAAAATATTTTATAACAAATTTGGCTTATGATGAAATTTCACTTATTTTATTTAAAATTAACAATTTTGAAGAATATTGATATGAATCAAATAAATATTAAATATAAATTAATTATCAAGATAGGTAGGTGAATTCCTTTGCTTTAAGTTCATATAATTTTGAATTATTTGTTCTGATTTACTACATCAAATCTGTCATCTCTTATTTAATGTTCTACTTTTATGATTCAGATAATTAAGTGTTTTTTGAGAATTACTAAAATAATGTTTAGTAATGATTATTTAATCGAAAAGCTTCTTTTTCTACTTCAATTATTTATTAAAGTAATAATTTATATTCAACATCTCTAGTTGATGTTTATGGTTATTATTAAGGATGTAATAAGTCATTTTATGAATGAGATGTAGTTAATTATAAAGTCTTATCATTATGCAAGGCATTATATATTTCTTTCTTATCATCATCATTTAATTCTGATTCCTCCTCATAATTTTTTCTCTCCACTTCTAATTTTTATTACAAGTCTTATATTTAAATATTAAATTAATGTATGAGTTCGTCATTCATTGATTTTAATTTTTCTTATTGTATTTACAATTATTCTAATTAATATTTTAAATTTATTAATTCTTAATCTTTAAAGAGTATTTATTATTTTAATTATTTATTCAAATCTTCTAAGTCTTCTATTATTTATTCTTATTCCTACATTTATTGATGATAAACACTGTTTTTATTTCTCAATTCTTACATTGCACATGATACTTCTTCTTATACTTATTACATTTAAGATTCAAAAAAACTCTTTATATCTGTATATTACTTTTATAATTTTAAGATCTCTTATTTTTAATGAAGTACAAGATCCTTATAAGTTTTTTCTAGTTCCTTTATTTATTCTTATTATTCTTACTTTTCTTTCATCAATATAGCATTTTAATTTTTCATTTCTTGATATAGTTTTTATTAATACTGTAATTGCTTTTCATACTATTACTCATTATCCTCTAATAATAATCTCTAATCTAATTTTAATTTATTGAACATTTGCCTTTCTTTTCTTAATTCATCAAGAGTATTCTGAAGTAGAGAATCTTAATCATTTCTACAAACTTCAATGTTCTTATATCGTTCATTTTGCAATTGCATTTATTACTTCATTTCTTCTAATTATTATTTATATTGTCGATTGATTTAATCAATACATTAATCCTTTTCTTATTTTAATTGATTTAGTTATAATTCATAGGATTACAATAATTATTTATGATCTAAATCTAAAACAACATACTACTATTATAAATTTTAATAAATGGAATTGATTTCATTCATAGTACTTTATTAATTTTAATAGTTTTTTAACTGCTCTTTCAAACTATCATTTTCTGTTTTAAGTTCCATATTTTTTTTTTATAAGGCTTATAGAGCTTATATTTATGAGTTGTTTCTTTAAGTTGTCTTATCAGGTGTTTAAATTCTTGTGTGATAATTAGATCTCTAATCATTTGAGATTGAAAATGAATTTTCCTTATTAGTAGAATTTTATAGGTTAGGCAAAGGAGCTATTTAAGCCATATATTAATCAAATATTTTTTGAACTTTCACACTACTACTTCTAATTGAACAAGTTGATGTGTCGTTTTCCATTCTTTTGACTTATTTAATTTTAAATAATATTCTTTATAAGAAGTTTATATAAACAATTTTAAGTCAAGGCATACATTAAAAATGTATTTAAAACTAAAAATTTACTAATCTATTAGATAGACTTAAATATTTTTGAATCTCTATAAATTTTATTTGTTTTTAGAAATTATATTAATCTGTAATGAAATTCAATAATACAATCTATTGAAAATAAATAGCCAAAAAAAATTTAAGATTATAAAATATATTTATTGAATACAATTTAGAACATGTGCATATTAAAATAGTAAGGTTATTTATCAATTAGAAATCATATATTAAATTTAGAATGATTTATTAATTTTATTATTCTTAAAGATTTGAGATTGTAATTTTTAGTAATAAATAAAAGAACTATGATAATAATTATAAAATAATAAATTTCATTAAGAACGAAATATTTAATATACATCTTAATTAAAGGCTAATCATTTTTTATGAAAATACATGAGTCTTAAATTGATTAGTAATTTAGAAAATATAATAATGTAATCTTCGTAATTTTATTTTTATTAACTAGGAATTCAAATAAACACAAATATTAGAACTTATTATTTAGATACAAATTGTTGATCGAGGTTTGGATTTATAATCTTTGTATATAAAAATTTAGTTTTTTTTTTTTAACTTCATATTTGTTATAGAAGTTTTAAAGAATGTTAAATTTCAAAAGAAAAAATTAATTAAATCTAGAAAAATGTTCTTCAATTATATTTTAGAGTAAATAAATATATTAAATAGAAATATTTTGAAGTATGAATTCCTGTAATTAATTATATATTAGATAAATTCAGTTGATAAACTCAAAGCACTTGAATTAATAGAAATGTTAAAAAAGGAGGGATAATAACAATGGATTTATAAATAAAAATAAGATCTTGATCATATATTTATACAATAGTTAATAAAAAATAAATGAAGTTATTATTCTATGAAATCAAATTATTTTTCTTTTGTATTTATTGTGAATTGCACTAGAAAGAAGCTTTTTTTAAGATGATTATATATTTGTGGCAGGCTTCTTTCTAAATCCCATATTACTGGATTATAAAGTTCGAGTTTGAGGTATTAATCTTATTGTTTATGAAAAATTCAATTTACTTTTTTGGTGGGGTTAAGTGTGTTTCCACTTCATCTTCCCAATCTTGATCATCTATTTCTCTTTAGAACTTATTTTTAAAAAAGTCTATAGAAAGTTGAGGTTCTTTAATCAATTCTTCTTATTCTGATACTGTAAGTAATTGATTAATATCCATTTCTAAAGTTTCTTTTGGAAGTAGATTAAACAAATTATTAAATGATTTTTTGATCCACATCTTTGAATTATTAAAGTTCTATAGATTAGATTCTTTGGCTTCTTCAATCAAAATAATATTAGTTTAAATTAGTTCTTTGAGTATAGACTTATCACAATTCATGTTTTAAATTTAAATCAATATTACAAAAAATATTAATATTTTAATTATAATGAATGATACGATAGATAATGAATTGTGTTTACAAGAAATGAAGGAAATCGAGAAAAAAATTATCAAATATTTATGTGAATAATTAAAACTAGAACAATTTACAGATCCTCATTTGAAACAATTGAACTATGAAGACGCAAAGAAGAAACAAGTATTCTCCTTTAGATCTCTTGATTCTGACACTGAGACATCAGATAATATATCAAGTACTCCAAGTAATCGATGCTCCTTACAAATTGCTAGATCTCCTCTCATTTTAAAAAGGTTAAGTGCTTCCATCTCAGAATAACTCTAATGATGATTGTATATATATTTTAATGTTTTACTATTTTAAATCAATAAGTTTTCTTGAAATAAATAGATGATATTGGTATATTTAAATATAAGAGAATCAAGAAAATATTATTTCCATTTTTAGCTAAAAGGAATCTTTGAGAACAATTAAAGAAGATTTCAAGAATATTTTTGTACTTAACTAATTATAATAATATTTAGAAATAAGTTCATATTTGTAATCATTTAGAGTAATAGACATTACTTAAATTTCTTAATTTATACATTTGTGATAGTTAAAAATTACATTACTTCAAATTATCAGAAAAATATTTCAATTAGAATAAAAAGTACTGGAATCTACTTAATTTAAGAAAACATATGAATTTTTCAAATGAAAAAGAGTAAATCTTATTCTAATGGAATTAAATATATAATTCTTTGTTTACTAAATATATTTTATATTAATGTAGTCTTATCAAAAATTTATATTTTATTAATTCGTATTTAGGATGAGAATCTTTTAATCTTAGTTTAGTTATTTATCAAAAGGTTTAAATTTATTATAATTATTATTCTTACACTCAAAATACTAATAATTAAAATCAAATTGGAGAATTTTATTTTAAATTAAATGAACACTTAATATACTAACTATCCTATTATTAATTAAACTAATTAACATATTTGAATTATCTCATTTATATTCAATATATTTATACAAAATAACATTAAACACAATATTATTTTTAATATATATATATGGACGTAGAACAAGAATACGATTTATTTATAATAGAAGGCTCTGGAGGTCTTGCTTGTGCCAAATAAGCGGCAAAATTAAGTGCTAAAGTTGCTTTGGCTGATTTGGTTAAACCATCACCTTTAGGAATTAAATGGGGATTGGGAGGAACATGTGTTAATGTAGGTTGCATTCCAAAAAACTAATGCATTTTGCAGCTACTTTAGGAGTATTAAGACATGATTAAGTAGAAGCAGGGTATTTTTAATTTTAGATGGATTGATACATAAATTGATTCAAAGCATAATTGGAAAAAATGGTTGAAAATGTGAATAGCCATATACGTAAATTGAATTTTGGTTATAAAAATTCAATTTACATAGATAAGTGGTAAAGTATTACAATTAATTAGCAGAAATCATTGATGCAAATANAAGTACTCCAAGTAATCGATGCTCCTTACAAATTGCTAGATCTCCTCTCATTTTAAAAAGGTTAAGTGCTTCCATCTCAGAATAACTCTAATGATGATTGTATATATATTTTAATGTTTTACTATTTTAAATCAATAAGTTTTCTTGAAATAAATAGATGATATTGGTATATTTAAATATAAGAGAATCAAGAAAATATTATTTCCATTTTTAGCTAAAAGGAATCTTTGAGAACAATTAAAGAAGATTTCAAGAATATTTTTGTACTTAACTAATTATAATAATATTTAGAAATAAGTTCATATTTGTAATCATTTAGAGTAATAGACATTACTTAAATTTCTTAATTTATACATTTGTGATAGTTAAAAATTACATTACTTCAAATTATCAGAAAAATATTTCAATTAGAATAAAAAGTACTGGAATCTACTTAATTTAAGAAAACATATGAATTTTTCAAATGAAAAAGAGTAAATCTTATTCTAATGGAATTAAATATATAATTCTTTGTTTACTAAATATATTTTATATTAATGTAGTCTTATCAAAAATTTATATTTTATTAATTCGTATTTAGGATGAGAATCTTTTAATCTTAGTTTAGTTATTTATCAAAAGGTTTAAATTTATTATAATTATTATTCTTACACTCAAAATACTAATAATTAAAATCAAATTGGAGAATTTTATTTTAAATTAAATGAACACTTAATATACTAACTATCCTATTATTAATTAAACTAATTAACATATTTGAATTATCTCATTTATATTCAATATATTTATACAAAATAACATTAAACACAATATTATTTTTAATATATATATATGGACGTAGAACAAGAATACGATTTATTTATAATAGAAGGCTCTGGAGGTCTTGCTTGTGCCAAATAAGCGGCAAAATTAAGTGCTAAAGTTGCTTTGGCTGATTTGGTTAAACCATCACCTTTAGGAATTAAATGGGGATTGGGAGGAACATGTGTTAATGTAGGTTGCATTCCAAAAAACTAATGCATTTTGCAGCTACTTTAGGAGTATTAAGACATGATTAAGTAGAAGCAGGGTATTTTTAATTTTAGATGGATTGATACATAAATTGATTCAAAGCATAATTGGAAAAAATGGTTGAAAATGTGAATAGCCATATACGTAAATTGAATTTTGGTTATAAAAATTCAATTTACATAGATAAGTGGTAAAGTATTACAATTAATTAGCAGAAATCATTGATGCAAATACAATAAAAGTAAAGTAATAATAATATATATTCAAAGTTAACAGATAATAAAGGACAAATTGAAACAGTTAGAGCTTAAAATATATTAATAGCTGTTTGAGGTAAACCATCATACCCAGATAATATTCCAAATATTTAAAATCTTGTGATAACATCTGATGATTTATTTTGGTTATAGGAGAATCCTGGTAAAAAATTAGTTGTTGGTGCTTCTTATGTTGCATTAGAATGTGGAGGATTTTTACATGGAATAGGAAATGAAGTGACGATTATGGTGAGGAGTATTCTATTAAGAGGATTTGATTAAGAGATGGCAGTAAAGATTGGATATTATATGGAAGAAAAATGAATTAGATTTATTAGAGGTTGTGTTCCAGACATGATTGAAGCAACAGAAGATAATAAAAGAAAAAGTAACTTGGATAATAAATCGAAATAAATAAGAAGAAATATTTGATACAGGTTTAGTTGCAACAGGTAGAGTAAGTGATACCTATAAATTAAATCTTCAAAAAGTTGGAGTAAATATGAATAAAATGGAAAAATAATATGGTCAGCAGATGATAAAACTTCTATACCTAATATTTTTACTATCGGTGATTGCGTAGAAGGTAGACCTGAATTAACTCCTACAGCTATTAAATGTGGATAATTATTAGCTAATAGTTTATTTGAAAAGGCTACTTAATTAATTTCATATGAATTTGTTGCTACAACTGTATTTACTCCTTTAGAATATGGATGTATTGGATATAGTGAAGAAGATGCAATCAAAAAATTTGGATATGACAAAATTATTGTTTATCATTAACCATTAGAATGCAATTACTTTGAGATGCATTCAGGTGAAAATTGTTTTGCAAAATTGATTGCTTTAAATGATAATCGTAGGGTTATTGGATTTCATTATCTTGGACCTCATGCTGGAGAAGTTACTTAATGATATGCAGTTGCTATGAAAATGGGAGTAACTAAGGAATAATTTGATTCTACAATAGGTATTCATCCAACTTGTTCTGAAGTATAAAATTTTTATAATTTAAGGATCTAGTATAAGTGACAGCAGTTAAAGGAATAGATGATGCTTAAAAAGAAGGTTGCTGAGGTTGAATCCCCTAAACTATTTTTCTAGGGGATGTTTCATAAAAACTCCTCCTAACTAGTAATAAAAATATTCTGAGGCTAATTTTAAGGAAGAAAGACATTTGTTTGTTAGAATTTAGAACAAACTTTATGAAACATTTATTTGAAATAAAATAATAAATAAGTGTTGAAAAAGATGCTTTTTTGGAATTGTAATTGGTTTAAGTATATATCTCAAATATTTTATTCACATTTTATAATTTAGATTAAAGTCTAAAAGAAAATTATAATATCTGAATCAATATAATTATATTCTTAGATTTCTTCTTCAATAACTAAATTATGTTTATATTTTCTATGAGAAAAAAAGTCAATCAATTTTATCTAAGTATTCTATTTTACTAATATTTATCTATTTTGAAAAATTATCTAAATAAGTTTATCAGGTTACATTTAGAATTGTATTAATCATCATCAGTTAAAAATTGTATCAAAGAAAGATTTTTCTGTAAAGGGTTTTCAAATATTACAATCATATAAAATGATTTTAAATATGATCTTTATATCAAAAATAAAAAATCTAGTGAATTTTCAATTTATTTGAGTATTCAATCAAAATAAATACTAATTTCATTTTATCTTAATTTTTATTGACTATAATAAATAAATAAATAGAATATGTCTATATTATTTAGATTTCTAAATATCTAATATCTCTATTAGATTTCTGATCATAAAATTAACTACTCCTGTTTAGTAAATATATAAAAAATTTGATTTATGTATCATTATTATGAAAGAATAGATAATAAGTTATTATTATATACAAAAAAATATAGTCTGAAAATAAAGTAATAATTTTATAAATATTTATAATGAACAATTAAGATAATGCAATTAAAGGGGTATTAAAACAGTAGCTAATTGTTGATTCTGAAAGTGGTCCATATAAAACAATTCAAGAAGCTATAGATAAGGCAGAACCTAATACAGTCATAAAAATAGCTCCAGGACTTTATTCATCTAATATTGTCATTAATAAACCTGGTTTACGTCTAGAACCTAAAGAAAAAGTGGGAGATATTATTATTGTTGTATCATCAAAACCTACTATTTTGGTTGATTTGAGAAAAGATGAGCGTTGTACTTTAATTGGATTGAAAATGTCACATAGTGGAACAAGTGAAGAAGTTGAAGAATTGGAAAAATTAATTGAAGGTTAAGAAATGGCAAAGCATCTTTTTGGGAGTCATGAAGATGGAGGTGGTGGTTTAGAATAAAATCCAGATGAAGAGTTTGTTAGCAAAGTTCCGATAGAACCAAGTATGAATTGTGTAGTATTATTAAATGGAGGCAAATTATTTATGGAAGATTGTTTGATTGCATTAAAGTAACAATAAATTAAAATTGAAGTTTCATTGTCAAATCCTTTAAAGGTATATTACCAGGTATAGCTGTAAATTAAGGAGCTGAAGCATTGTTCATAAGATGTGAAATAAAAGGAACTTCATCAAAAAATTAAGATGCAAAGACAATAGGAATTTTAGTTAAATTAGGAGATTTAATTATCAAGGATAGTAAAGTTCATAATCATACATATGGTGGTATATTGATATAATAAGCTGTAACAAATAAAAATGTTCGTGTGATCAATAGCAAAATAATATAAAATAAAAAAGTTGGAATTCATGTAGTTGGTTCAGATGCATTACCATAAATAGAATAATGTAGAATAGAAAATAATGAAGGACCTGGAATTAAAGTAGGTATTGGTAATAGAGCTAAAATATTTGGAAATGAAATAAAGACAAATGTAATAGGAATAGAAGTATTATCTGCAGATCCATAAATTTTTAATAATAAAATAGATAAAAATTTTACAGATGGAATATTAACAAAAGTATTTGAATAATTAAGATGTGATGGTAAAATTAAATCAAATCAAACAATATCTGGAAATAAAGAAAATGGTATTCATTGTACTGGTTAAAATAATTATACAAGGATTGATTCTAATACATTTATAGGTTATAATAAAAAAGCTGGAATTAAAGCTGATACTGAAGCTCGTATTTCAATTCATAAAAATAAAATATCTAAAAATTTGGGTTAAGGTGTATTATTAGTTGAAACAGCATCTGCAGTCATAGAAAAAAATGAAATTACTGATAATATTAAAGCAAATATTGCATTGGGTGGTGCAAATTCTGTGGATACATTTATAGTGGAAAATAAGATATTAGGAGGAAGATGTGAAGGTATTTTTTTAATAGAATGTGGAAAGTGTTGGATATTTAGAAATTAAATTGCTGAAAATGTATTAATAATTATTATTTAAATAGAATGATGGTATAGTATGTATTACAGCAGTTCCAATAATAAGTGGTAATGTAATATAAAAAAATAAAAGTAATGGTATTATGATTCTAAAGGATAGTAGACCTGAAATTAGTAAGAATAATATAAATGATAATGATGGGATAGGATTATTTATAAGAGATAAAAGTCATGGAAAAATTATAGACAATGTCATAAAGTCCAATGAGATAGAGTTAGTTGTTGAAAGGAGAAACCCATCTTTAGAATCAATTGTATAGGAAAATAAAGTAACTGGAGATATTAGAATTCCTTAGAATTATGATTGTACAATATAATGAAAGAATTATAATTTTATTTAAATTGCTTTTTGCTATTCAAAAAGGTAGATTATATTTTTTAAAAACAACATTTTAATTTATATGGATCAAAGACCTAATTTTTCAATAGTTTTTCAACAAGGTATAAATTGAGAGATATAGAATTATCAATTTAATAAAAATGAATAGTTAAATTGATATAAAAATTCAATCTAAATGAGATAAATAACTTTTTCTTGATATTCATTAATTTATATAATATCATTTAAAAGAATATACTTTTAGATTATGTGATTTTTATTGTAATATTTAAGAGTCAAAATATATTTTGCTTTTCATTTATTATTAGTTGATTATATTATTTTTACATTCTTAAATATTTAATTGAAATGAATATTTATTTTGTCCAAATATAGTGAATAAGTTACTATAGGAGTATGAAACAAAATAAGAATTCTTTATATTTTATAAGGATGGTGTTAAAAATATTTATTATTAATAATAATTAAATATAGATTATTGATAAATAAATCAAGAGGCTCTAATTGAATGGGTTTATTAGAATTCAATTGGTCTTACTTATGTTTATTATTTATTCTTATAATTAATGCGCTCTTTTATCAAAAAATAAGTTAGGTATATTAAGGTAGAAACAGTAAATATTAAAGTTATTACCCATCCAACTAAAATACTTTTACTAATCAATATAACGAATGCTCCAAAATAGAACTATTATTTATAAATATAAATACATAACATAATATTAGTAATAAACATCTGTCTACAACATTAAACCATTTGATATATGAAGGATCAAGTCTGAAATGGAAATAAATTAAACCACCCATCACTAGAAAAGAGAAAAGCATTTAATATAAATAAGCTGATTCTTACAAATTTGAAAATACTGAGCTTGATCCTAAAATCAATAATTTTGCTTGTATATATAACACTACAAAATTTGATTTATATTTTAAATCTAAAGAACGATCCATAAATTGAAATGTAGGTTATAAGTATGTAGACAAAGGATAATAAATTCCACAACCTACTATTGCCAAAGTTATATATAAAAAGTGTAAATCACTCATACATTCTACTGAGGGTTATCTTACTAAAATATATGGATATTCACTATAATCACAAATAAAAGCATCTATATATGTTTTCATTACAAATATAAATTATCCGCTAATAATTTAAATAGTTTTACTCAACCAAAATCTTAAACTTTTGATTCCTGCTATTGATCCATCTTCATTATAACCAAATGAATTATCAGCTATTTATTTACTAGCTTATAATCCTAACACTATATAAGCAATACTCATCAAAAGAGCCATAAAAAAGAAAAAGTTATATTCACTCCAAATAGCTGAATAATCTACTGTTTTTATAGGTTTAAATTAAGATCCATCTCCAAACCATCCTACTTAAGAATCAAATGCTAATGTTATTAATCCATATAGATCATAAATTCTTAAGACAACTGCTAAACAATTTGTGATTGTAATCTAAAAATGAAATTCTTATTCATTAGCTTTTCTATCAAATCTATTAAATTCATCAACTAAACAATTGCATATTTTTGGTGCTATTCTAGTCCAATCTTCACTTATAGGATTTGGTTTTGGTTAAATAGGTGCAATTTTACTGTATAGATCTGCTAATTAATTCATAAGATTTTAAGTATATTTTTTAGGTGTTATCCAAATTGCTGTATGAATAGATTTACATGCATTCCAAATCCATTTTTCAACTTTATGAGGTGTTTTCATTTTGTATTTATTTTTTGTTTCTTCTAATTTTAATTGATATTTTTAATTTAGTTATTCATATTCTTATTATTATTCATCTAATTCATTTTAATGAATCTTTATTTTAATCAAACATTATCTTTCATCATTAAATTTTTAACTTTATTTAAGGTTTTCATATTAAATTGCACTTTAAGCATTCTTAAATTTAGTTATAAATTTATAGAATTCAGGATATAACTTAATTAAATAAAAGAAATTAGTCTATGCTAATGTTTAAAGAATATCTGAATAAGATTGTTATTTGTCTTTAAAATTATCATAAATTAATAAAGCAAAATCTTCTTCTGAAATTGTAAATTTATCATTTTCTTCTTCAAAACTTTCATATTATTTTAATATCTCATAATCTTTTTCTAATGCTAAAATCTCTAATAATTTTGAGAAATCACCTTAATCCAATAATAAATTATATAGAGCTATCCAAAATCTTTCAACTCTATGTTAATGCTTTTCTTTTATTGGTTTATATTCATCACCTAATTTTGGATCCTCTAGTAAATAAGTTGATTATCTTTTTTCTCTTCTTATTTTTGTTCTTTTATTTATTTTATCTTTTTCTATTTTAAAAAACTTTTCTATATCATCTAAATCCTTTTTTTTATTATTTTCATTTAATTCTATTTACTCTAAATCATAATATCCAAATCTACACAAAAAACATGAGAACAAACAATCTTGCATTTTATATAAAATTCCATGATTTTCTTCTTAATTCTATTATTTAATTGTATCTGCAGAAGTTTAAGATTATATATCTGTATAATTTGCACTAAAAGATTATCTTATTTTTTATCTTTTACTTTCTTATATTTATTCTAATTTCATTTTATTTTCATAATCTTATTTTGTTACAAGAATATTTTTTATATTATTATTTTCACTAGGTTCTGGATGCTCATACATATTAATAGGATCACCTTTGATTAAATCTTTTTCTAATTTCATAGAATTTCTATGTTGAACATATCTCACAAATAATAAAGATGAAATTTCTTCAGTTGCATAAACACCATTATCAGCAAATTCACTCATTACTTTTTTAAGTACTTCTTTCTTTTTCATTTCAAGTTATTCTTTATTTAATAAAACAGAATAAAATATAGATAAAACTGTTACACTTATAATAATGATTAAAATTGAATAAGCAACAGCCAATTAAGCAAATAAAGCAAATTCTGGAGATGAATTCTCAAAATAATCAGCTAAAATTGGAAATACAGTTCCAATAGGACCTATTATAAATGTCCAACCTAATATAACTACAAGTGGTTGGATAAATAATTAATAATTGAATGATTCTTATTTTAATGATATCTAAAATTTGTAATATAAAAATGATAATGGTATTCCAATTGAATTTGCTAATAAAGCATTTTTAGCTACTTCACTATCAACAGATAGACCAATTGGTAATAAAACTATAAATGGAAGTATAATACCAACTGTTGTACCATCTTACATTCTATTTTTGAATTTTTAAGAATAAGTTAAATTCTATTATTCATCAATATCTTATTATGTTTACTCTTTTACTTCAATAGATAAAGCATTACTTGTTAAAATAAATAAAACTGAATGGATACTTAATAATCCAATTATCTAAATTTTATATATAATAATTTTACTGTTCCTTTTTTAGTTCCTGTGGCTGTGATTGGTTCATTCCATGCAAAATAACAAATTAAATAAAATGATATTACATAGCATATAGAATTATACCAAATAGCATAATTCTTTAAGTTTATATACTCAAAAGCAATAAATTATAGGTTTTCTGCTTATTTAGGTAATTTTATTAAATAGATTATCACTACAACAATATAATAAATTATAAGAAGTAATATTGGAATTAATCCAATACTAGCTAATACATAAGCTCCTATTTCTAATCCAAAATCATCAAAATATTCAGAAAAAGTTAAGAAAATTCCAAAAGGTAAAGCAAAAGAATAACATGAAAAAAGCATTACAAATAGTTTTTAATTTCTTTTTTCTGATCTAAAAAAACCTACTGTAAGCCACATCAATGATATTATTAATGGACATATACCTATTAATCTTGAAATTGATTTTATATATTCGTTTTCTATTGTAACACTCCATACTTTAATACATATAACACTAAAAACAGCACCTAATAATAAAGGTGTGTATAGATATAAATTCTACCTCTTGAATCTTGTATTACTTATACAAATTCCAATAATTATAAAAATTGGTATTGCTAATAATAAAAATCCAAAAGTGACAATTTATTCAAAATCATAAGTTTATAATCCAATTATTAAATTGGCATAACAAAAGATTTCAATTGTAGCATAACAAATAGCAATTAATATTGGAACAATATATTAAAGTTTTAATTTTCCAAATATATTTATTGCTTTTTTATTCATTTTATAATTAGGATACTCATTTTTTATATCTTAATCAGCATATTTTAATAATGATAGCTAATATAAGTCATATTTAATTGTCTTCTTTGGTAAATTGAATAATCCTTTAAGTAGGAATATTGAAAAAAATAAAATTACTAAAAAGGTTGATGGTGCAATTATTGATGTTATATTATCAATAATATATTCTAATCTTACTGATTAAATCAATAAAATAAAGGCTACTATTTTAAAAAGTATGAAATATGACACCAATACACAAAAACTACAATTAAATAATGTAGCAATAATTGCCGATGAAACTTTCTTAATAAAATATAAAAACCCTCTATTTATAAGAGAATTTATAAAAATTGCAATACTTACTATGCAATACCCAACTCCTATATAATCCTATGAAAATCCATCATAATTTCCAAAGAGATTCAAATGGTATCCTACTAGAACTAATGACGGAATAATTATTAAAAATATAAATAAAAGTATCCAAATTAAATTTTTATTTATTTGTTAACATCTAAAATATTAAAAAATACATACATTTAAGAAGATATTGTATATAAAAAAGCATATACAGGCAGTTAATGAGCTATTTATTAACGTATTTTATCATTTTGTATGATTGAACTATTTTCGATAGCCTAAATATATATTCATTTTTACTATAGATTCTGAAAGAACACTAAAGAAAGTACTCCAATAGACTATTGTAATGATAAATTAGTTTAGGTCAAAAGTTATTTTATATTTTTTAGGACTACAAGTGAAAAATAAGTTAAATCGTTCTTCAAATTCATAGTATTTTTGAAAAAATAATTCTACATAACCTGGTTCTTATGGATCTTGTAATTTTTGCTTTTACTCTAATAGAAAAGTTAATTCTTAAGCTTCTTCAGTGTCTGGTACAGTGAATTTGATATTCTAATCTTACAATTTAATAACTAGTTATTGTCTAGTTATTTCTTATTCCTTATTTATAATTATTTAATATTATGAATCCCCTTCTGTTGGTCTTTAAATATGATTACTTGTTCCTTCTTAAATATTCATAATTCTAAAATTTTAATATTTTCTTATTTTAAGATTAAAAAAAATAAAATAATTCACTGTCTTCTAGTCTTCAATACTTTTTTTCTGTTAAAATATTCTTATCTATGTTCTTTTGTCATTTATTAATTTACTTTATCAGCTTTTCTTTGTAATTCTATAAATTTAAATAAATATAAATTACAATCTTCATATTCTTTATTTGCCTTTTCAATTAAATTTTTTTCATTCATTTAAAAATATTCAAGCAATTCTTCTTTAGTTACATTTCCCTTTGCAATCTCTTATTAAATAATTTTTTCAGGTGTAACTCCTTTATAATTATCTGAAATATATTTATGTGTAGAATCATGTAACCACTTATTTAATTTCTCTTAATCTTCTTTTTTCATTTCATATTAAAATTCTTCTTATTCTATTCGATTAATTTATTCTTTCATTATTTTTAACTCCTCTGTTTCTTCTTTATTATCTTAACCTAAGATTTCATCTTCTTCCAATAATTCATTTGATTTTTCATCATTTATTAATGCCTTTTCTATTTTTTCTATTATTTCTTAACCTTTCTTTACATCCTCTTCCACAGAATTAGTGTTAGGAGTAAAACTTAATTTACCATTATATCTTGCAATTAAGATCATTTATTATTAATATTCAGTTAATGGACCTGGAACTATAAAGAGAGGATATTTCTCCCAATCAATATTTTTATATCTTGGATTCTATTTAATTTCATCTATTTAATTTTAAGTAACAGCAATCTAATGTTTTGAAGCATATTATAAGAACTCTAATATTTCTAAGTCTCTTTCAGCTTAACTCTAAAAGCTAGGGGGAATTTCTTCTTCCAATAGTTCATCATCTTGAAAATTAAGTACTTTCTAAAAAAAGGTTGGATATTTTAGATATTCATCTCTTTATTTAAATCCTAATCCCAAATAATAATGTTTAAGAAAATCTAATTTAGCAGTTTAGGGTCTAACCTTTATTGTTTCACGAAAGAAAAGATTAATAAATTTATAGTTTTATTCTTCAGGTAAACCTTCTCTTGCTTTAATCAACATAGTTCCACCTGTTTTTAAAGTTTTTAAAGCTATATTCAATGCAATTCTATTTAATCTAATTTATTCAAAATTATCAATATCTCTATCATTTTAACTTCTAGTTTCTAAATTAGATATTATCTAAATTCTTAATTTATTCTTACTAAATCAACAGGTTTTAAATCAAGTTATTTTTAAAGCTTCATTAAAGTTTCTTTTTTATCTACATCTCCTTAAATGAAAATAACTCCATCTCTATATCTTTTTGGTAATTAAACTTCATCAATAGCAAATACTTTTGGATCATCTCTATTTGAACCAATTACTTATCTCAATGTTTCTGTCCAATGACCCTAATTTAAATAAATAATTACTGAGCCAGAACCCAATTCAATCACTGACATTCCTTTCTTTAGAAGTCCAAATCGAGCATTCAGTTCTGTTAAAATTGAAGAATTATAATACCGCAATTTAAAAATAAACATTAATATAAATAAACCCACAATTAAATTAATTCAACTCCTCTCTTTTTGAATATGTTTTTCTAATTAAATGATTATCAAATATATATTAGTTCTGTTATTATTATAACAAATTAAACATAAAAATATTATATTTTTTAAATATCCAATGAAATCAAAGTAAATTAAATATAAATGATTGTTAAAATGATCAATATAACCCATTCTTTTTTGCATATGGATTGTTTTTTTGATAATTATCATAATTTTTTGGTTTTCCATCTTAAGTAAATAAACTAAATGTACTAACATTTGAATGAGCAATTTAGTAAGCTAATATTTATTTTTATATTTACATGCTCCACCATTATTATAAGCAGGTCTTCCATAACCAACATCATTATAAGAACTTTTAGTAGATTATTAATATTATTTTTATGGCATTTAAGAAATTGGAGACTTTTAAATCATCTTTGTTTATTATTATTCAAAATTAGGTTATTTATGAGTTGTTTTAACACTTTATGAATAACCTTATAAATTCAATTATTATTATTATGTTTATTTCTAATATTGTTATTTAGATTAAGGTCTATTATTATATTACTGATTATAATTAGACTTTTCATATTTGGCACTTTGCTATTTATTTGACATTCCATAAGATTAACCATATTATTGATGACCAAAAGGATTACCTCTTCCTTCTGCTATTTCTTATTATCTAACTTTCCTCATTTCCCTTAAAGCCTATTAAAATTCCAAATGCTATTGTTTCCATTTACCAGTTTATTTTGGCCTTAAATATTTAGCAGCCCTTTTGTTCTATTCCTATTATTATTCTTTTATTTTTTATATATCTGGTTCTGGTCCTATACATACAGATTCATGTTTTCTGATTCTATCAGGATTAAATCTTCTTCCACATTTTCTGCACTATTATATTATTCAATACACTTACTCCAACAAGAGCTATAACTTATTAAGGTTATTCATAAAGAACTTGCTATGACTTTTAACCAACCTTTGTTCCAACTTATGTTCTAAATTATTTTTCTTAGTCCAATTTTTATAAAATCTCTTAAGCTAAAAATGAATAGATTAAGTAATATTACTTGTAGGCATTTACTATCTATGACCAGGATCCATATTCATTAGATCATTTTAATATTTTTTTATACAAGTTTTTTAGTGAATTTCTAGAGAAGCTGTTCCAAACTCTCGACCACATATCGTGCCTATAAATTACTGTATTCTGTACAAAGTAATGATTTTGGGCGAATTGCAAATCCTCCTCCATTCAAATAATTCAAATTATTGTCATTAGTTTTTTAATTTGTTTTTTAATTTGATTTTCTCATTAATTTATTATTAAAATATTGAAAAAGGAGACCTTATTGTTTTAAAACTAATTAGAATCATTATAAAAAAAGATATAGGAATCAAAAATATATTTATGTATTAGTATAGTTCAATCTATCTTTTAATGATGAATTTCATTCGAAATCTAGAAATTCTTCTCTAATTTCATTGAAAATATCTTCAATCCATACCATATGTAATGATGGATTATGTATTAATAGTCTACCAAATAAAGCTTCTAAATCATCACTTTTGTAAATTCTATGTTTGAATATTATCACTTAATAAATTATATTTTATTTTACTAATTAATTCTTTTTTTAATTCATAATAATCTTTTTTCTCTTATCCTTTTAATTTAGGTAAATCATAAACAAATTCTCCATCTTTTTTCTCTGTTTCTTCTACAAATTATTATATTTTTATTTATGATTTTTTATTTGAAGATTTAGATCTCTACCATCTTTTTATAGATGCACTTAAATTAATTTTTTCACCTGATTATTATTGTTCTTTTGACTATTTATATTAAAAAATTCAATTACAATATATTGCATTAAATTATCAAGTCGACAATTTGATAAATTTTAACCTTCTCTTCTAAAAAATACAGGAGGATGAGCTACAGGATCAAATTAATTCTTTTTTCTTTCTTACATTGATCCAGCACTTCCTATTCTTCTTTTTTATGCTTTTATATTCATTTCATGCTCATATTATTCAAATTTTTCTTTTTTATTCTTATTATTTGGAGTTCTTTTTTTCATGAAAGGCTGATTGTTATCAATTCTAAACTACTATAAATTGTTTAATCATACATTTTTTTAGTTTAAACAACAGCTTTAAATGTTTTAAGTACATTATTAAAATCATCATCAGCATTTTATTTACATTCTTGGCGCTATTTTTGATCTACAGGCTTTTATTATATATAATCATACAGGTTTTGGTGGTTTTATATTTATAGATGGTTTTGCATTTTATACAGCAATTTAATGTTTATAAAGATGATCAGCTGTTGCTCTTAGACCTCCAATATTTCTAACATCCATAGCAAATGTTTTTTACATTTTTATTTAATGTTATTTATAATTATTGTATGTATTTATAATAAATTATAATAAAATTATTTGAAATCAAGATTCTAAGATCCTTTACATAATCTCTTTATCTGTAAATTTTTAAATATCTGAAATATCTAAAACATAAAAACATTCATTTAATTTAGCTGTTTTTAATGTAATAGATAAGTATTTCAACATATATGTTGCTAATAATTGATGTCTATTTAAATTACCCAAATTTATAGTAAAATTTGAAAAATATTCTTCAAGTAATTATATTAAATGTATTATATTGAAAGTCACTGATTATATATTTTCAGGCGCATTATCAACAAATGCTTATTTCATTTATTTCAATTAATTCAAACAAAATTAACCTCTTTCATCATTGAAAAACTTTTATTATTCTTTTAAAAACTTTGAATTTTCTAGCTAAAGTAACCAATTAAATGAAAAACATCTTAATTTTTAAGCTAAATCTAAATAAGATTTCTCAAATTTTTAGATGAAAAAACTAAAATTAAATGCACTTCTTGCAAAATTTAGTTAATTCAAATATATTCTTTAATTAGTTTTAAATTCTATTTATAAATAATTTATTATTAAAAGTTTTCTATAATCTGTTTATTCTGGTTCTACCTCCACTAATATTCTTGTAGATTGTCTTTTTGAATTTTATTATTCTTAAATAAGTGGATTCTAATAGATTTCATCCCAATTTATTCTATTCTCTTCATTAATTTATAAACATCCTTAAATTAATTACTATAATTATGAATTATCTAATTAAGGTACAATGATTGGCCTGCAAATCCTTTCTTACATTTAAATTATATTATCAGCAATAATGGGAGGTTTTTAAAATAGTAATTCATACAAGATCATGCCTAAAGACCAAATATCACATTTTGATGTATAAGGTTATCTTAAAATAACTTATGGAGCCATATAAAGAGGAGTACCTGCAATACTTGTCATTAAATCATTTTCAAAATCAATTTTCTTTGCAAATCCAAAATCTGCAATTTTAGGGATTCCTTAATGCAAAAGTATATTAGCTGGTTTTAAATCTCTATGAATTATTGAATTTTGATAAAGTTAATGATAACTAAATAGATTTCATTCAATACCCATTTAAGATTTGTTTTAGGATATTGATAACAGATAATGAATCTAATTTACCTCTTTTAATAATATCTCTTAAATCTCCACCATTACAAAATTCTGATATAATATAAAAATTGTTTTGAGTTTCATAGAAATCTAAAAATTTAACAATATTTTTATGATTAAGTTACTTCATAGATCTAATCTCATTTAATAATTGTTAAGTATTAGTCTAATTTGTTATTTTATATACGTTACTTGATTAATCATTCTTCTATCTATTACTTTAATTGCTACAGACATTCCATCAGTTGATATCCCTTTGTATACTATTCCATATGCTCCTCTTCCAATTAAATGATTCATGTTAAATGAATATTTTCCAACAATTTTTTACATTTTATGTTAATAAAATTAAACGATAACATATATATATATAATAATATTAAATAGTATATTAGTATTATATCACAAAATGGTTTTCTATTATTAAGATATCAATTTAGTACTCTAAATTTATTTATATTTTTATTTTAGTATTTCTAAATTCCTTTGTCTCTCCTCAATTTCTTATTCAATTTATTTCAAAAACTAATTTTGTCTAGTGACTTATGAATTATTACTAATCTCTTTTTTATAATCATTATTGTTTATATCATTTTCTTTTTTTAAAATTTGTTCATAAACTCTTAATTATTTTATAAAGCCTTCATTAGGCAATATTTATTTTCTTAAACACCATAATATTTAATAAGCACGATCAAAATTCCATTCAAAATGTTACATTAAATAACCTAAAACAACTGTTGCACTTCTTGATATTCCTGCATAACAATGAACCATAACATTTGTATGTTTTCTATTTTCATCAATAAAATTGAAACACAATGGAAAATGATCAAGTAATGATTAATCTTCTGAATCAGGAATTGATATTTTAGAATGGATATACTATTCAGGTAAATTTATTTCAGGAAAATCAATTACACTTAAAACAGCTCTTATTTGTAATTTTTGTAGCAAATATTGATCCTTAGCACAATCTATATCTCCTATATAGAGTCCACTATAAGTATTGATTCCATTTGTCTTAGGTTCAAGAATGCAATTCCATTTTGATAATTCGTTAGGGTCTAAGTTCATTAAATTATTATAATATATATATAATCAGTAATGGGTTTTCGTAATATCTACATGAATATTCAGCAGACCGTACGTGATTTTACATCATAAGAATATAGTTTTATTAATCAGTGTAACTATGACTAAAGTCCATGAAGAATTGTCACCATTTGTGATAATCATCATAAAATAAATTTTTATTAAATTAATGAATTTTATTATCAAAATAATCAGATTTTAAAGTTGGAAATCATGCCTGCTACAAATATGCCAACTTATTTAGCATATTTAAAAGTTGAAATATTTTCTTTATATATATAATGTCTACAAATTTCCCATTTACAAAGTTTTTCAACTAATTTATCTTCCTCATTTTCTAAGTTTATGATTTATTCTATTTTATGAGCATTATCTTCTTTTTCAAATAGTTTTTTTCTTTATTCTTCCCATTACATTTCATACAAATAAGCTACTTCATTAACTAAATTAATAGAAACTAGAGTAAGCCAATCAGAACAATCAAGTGTTTATGGTTGATTCTCAAAAAAATGTGTAGGATTTATTTTCATCATTTTGATAACTGATTTTTCATATTTCAATTATCCATTTGGTTAAATGAATTATTCTAGTCTATTAATTATACCTAATAATGAATTTCTAGTAGAAGGTACAATGAATTTATGATACAATCCTACACCAACTCCTCCAACTACACTTCCAATTAAAGCTCCTAATACAGGTACAGGTATTAATATCTATCCAGCAACAGCTGATCCAATCCCCATTGAAGTTTTTACTCCTAAATGACCCATGTTTTTTAGTTTATTTTACATACTTAAGACTTTATTTGAAAATACTTTATGAACAGAATAAAATAAAAATGTTTATCCCACTAAAAAACCAACAAATGGTAAATTCATAGAAAGTGCAGCAAATGCAGTAGTTTCTGCAGTTCCATAACCTGCTCTCTACAATTTTTTTTACCATGATATATTATCATCAAGACAATCAACTATAAAAATACCAATTCCTGATCCAATAGCTCCTGCTGCAAGCATTGTTGGATCAGTTGGTTAAGCAGTACCTCCTTTTTATGCTTTATCTAATTTATTACAAAATTATTTTTTTATTATCTTCAATTATTCATCCATATTCATTGAAAAATTTACTATTAATTTTGATTATCCATTTGAATCAATTTAATATCCACAAACATCTTATTCATATAATTTAATATTTTTTACATATTCTATATTAGTTTCAAGAATATGTTAAACACCTTATGATAATTTCATATTCAAATTTGAGAATTTTTCAATTTCAGTCCATTAATTTTAATTAAAATAATCAAATGAAACTATTATTATTTAATGTTTGATCATATATAATACAAGTTATTCTTTACTATGTAAATATATTTTAAATGCTGATCTCTTACCTCTTGTAATTATATTTATCTTTTCAATAAACAATTCATCTTTTTCTTTAACAAAATCTCTGTCATTTTTATCAACAATAATTTACATAGTTTATATTGGCATTTTAGGATCCAAACCCATTCTTATTAATGAAGTAAAGAAATCTGTTGTTTTTGCTGGATTATTAATTTTTTCTTCTTTGTATTCTAAATAAGATATTATTATTTTCTTAGTAAATTCAAAATGATTAATAAATTCTGGTCTCCAAAAATTTGATTTTTCGATTAAAAAATAATTCTGAAGTTCTCTAACTATGTGTTATGAAGCATCTGTTTAAATTGCTTAAAATGTTCTAACATTAGCTAAAGCAGGATAATCTTAAAATATTTAATTAACTTTTTGCATCTATTCATTAACAAATGTTGAAGTTGAAACTATAAATTATTCAATATCCTTATGAATATCAAAAATAGTCTCTTTTATTTTTTCAAAGAGAATAATAAAATCAGCTTATTCAACTAATGCAAATTCATGCATTTGAATAGTGAATTTACCTACTTAATTTTCAATTTACCCTTCTAATACATAACTTAATTCTTATGGATCAAAATCATTTTCTAATAATAGATCTACTGTTTCTTCAATAAAAATAAAAAATTAAGATATCATATTTTTAACCAAAATCATTAATTATTAAACAAATCTACCATTTTAACTTATCATTATAGGCATTCCTTTAAATTGAGAAATTGAATTTTCTAAATCAGTGAATGTTAAATTCATAATATCATTTTCTATTTCTTTTTTAGAAAATTTAGGTTTAATTTAAATATATTTTTGAAATAGTGCACATCCATTAATAAGTGTATTAGCTATAATTGCATTTCCAAGTTAAACTTATCTTTATGACATCATCAAAGCTTCTTATAATTCTTCAAGTGTATCAATATAGCAATCTTATTCAATAAAATATTCCCATATATTTGATAATAATTATTTTGGACATGTAAGTATAGGTATTATAGATCCAGAAGTAACTTGTCTTTCAAAAGTATTGATAAATATTTGTTCTCTTAAATTATATTTGTTTTAATTGTTAATAAGAGTGATTTTATAATTTTCTTATGGATCAAATCTATAACTCATCTATTTTGGATAAAATGGAACATTTTTATTATTTGTTGATATTAAAAAGGAACACTTTGATGGATCAATTAAAAATTTGTTTGAAAAGATGATTACTAATTTATAATTATCTAACTTTGCTGCCATTATTTTAAAATTTTCATCTGAGAAAGTTGCAGGACAATTGAATTATTAAGTATACTTTTTGCATTCAGATATATGATCATCACATAAAACATATCCTTAAATAATCTTATGTTGATCTCCACACCATTAATATGTAATGTTTAAGAATTCATTGATCATAATATTTTATGTTTTTAATAAAAATTATTCATTTCTAGATTTTAAATCTATCCTATTTATTTTATGTAGGTTAAGGTACAACAATTGGTTTTATATTCCTAAAAATTTAAGTTATATATATATATACCAAATCTTTTCAGCATATTCATGAATAGTTCTATCACTACTAAATTTAGCTGATCTAATAGAATTGAAGAATGCTTTCTTTGCCCATGAAATCTTATCTTGATATAATTAATCAATCTTAAATTATAGTTATATATTAAATACTTTAATTTGAGCTTAAGCATAATGATAAAAATCATGAGCCACTAAATAAAAGTCATTTCTATTTGAAATTGAATCTAATAATCCATGATGATCATGTCCAAATATACCAGATCTAATAGTTTAAATAACATTCCATAAAGGTTTTTGAATATATTGATAAGGATCAGAATTCTTCATGTTGTCTATTAATTTACCAACTTCTTCTACTCTAGCACCAAAAATGAAAATATTATCAAGTCCTACTTCTTCTGCAATTTCAACATTAGCACCATCCCAAGTTCCTAAAATTATTCCTCCATTCATTACGAATTTCATATTGGATGTTCCTGATGCTTCTGTTCCTGCAGTTGAAATATGTTAAGAAATATCAGATGCAGGTATAATGATTTCTGCTGATGATACATTATAATTTGGTAGAAATACTACTTTCAAATAATGATTAGTATCTAGATCATGATTAATTACTTCAGCAACAGAGTTAATTAATTTAATAATTCTTTTTGCATTCAAATAACCAGGAGCTGCCTTTCCTCCAAAGAAAACAGTTCTTGGTGCAAATTTTCTTCTTCCTTCTGTTGGAGTATCCTTTAATAAAAGATATCTGTATATAACATAAAGAATATTCATAAATTATCTTTTGTATTCATGAATTCTCTTAACTTATATATCAAATAAAGTATCAGCATTAACTTCTACATTACAATATTGTCTAACCCATTTTATAAGTCTTAATTTATTATTTCTTTTGACTTTCATAAATTAAATTAATGCTAATTAATCTTCACATTTATCTTCAAGAGTTTTTAACATATCCATATTAAGTACCCATTCATCTGTACCTAACCATTCATCATATAATTTAGCTAATTGTTGATTACATGATCTAAGCCATCTTCTTGGTGCTACACCATTAGTAATGTTAATAAATTTTTTTGGTCTCATTTCATAATGATCTTTGAATAAATCAGTTTTCAATAAATCTGAATGAATTCTGGCAACACCATTAACCATATGAGATCCTATGATTGATAAATTAGCCATTCTGATTTTCTTAACTGGACCTTCTTCAATAAGTGAAAGTGCTGATAATTTATGTGAATCTCCAGGGAATTTAGCACTTACTTTATTCAAAAAAATCAAATTAATATAGTAGATAATCTCAAGATGTCTTGGCAATAAACTACCTAAAAGATCAACACCCCATTTCTCTAAAGCTTCAGGTAATACTGTATGATTTGTATAACCAAAAGTCTTAGAAATGATATCCCAAGCATTTGCATGAGTCATACCCTCTTGATCAATCAAAATTCTTAATAGTTCTACAATAGCTAAAGAAGGATGAGTATCATTTAATTAAATGGCCACCTTTTCTGGTAATGTAGACCAATCTCTTCTTACTTTCTTAAATCTTCTAATAATATCTTAAAGAGTAGCACTAACTAGTAAATATTCTTATTTTAATCTTAGTTCCTTTCCAGCATAAGAATTATCATTTGGATAAAGAACTGACGTTATGTATTCTGCTTTTTCTCTAGCTTCTAATGATTTGAAATAGTCTCCTTCATTAAAACTAGTAAAATCAAATTCATTAGCTGGTACAGATCTCCACAATCTTAAAGCTATTGTATTGAATGTCATATATCCTGGAATTGGAGTATCATAAGCTCTAGCTACTATTGTTTCCTATTATATAATATAAATTAATATACTCCAGCTTCCCATAAAGACTTTTCTTAACCATTCTCATGTCTCTTAACTACTTTTCCATAAAATTTAACTGGATATTATACATCCAATCTTTCAATTTCCCAAGGATTACCTTTCTCTAACCAATAATCTGGTGCTTCTACTTATTAACCATTCTAAATTAATTATTTGAATATTCCATAACTATATCTAATACCATAACCAAAAGCTGGATAATTCAATGTTGCAAGAGAATCTAAAAAACAAGCTGCTAAACGACTAAAAATTAATGTATTCTTTACCCTAATCCACCATTCCCTAAGGCTGGATCTACTTCTTCATCGTAGAGGTCTTCCAATTTATAACCCAATTCTTGTACTGCATCTGTATAAGCATCTTGTAATCCAAGATTTCCAACAGCATTTTAAAGACATCTTCCAATTAGAAATTCAATTGATAAATAGTATACTCTTTTGCAATCCTATTCATGAAAATACAATTAAGTATCATTAAAACTTTCAATCAATCTATCTCTTATTGAATGAGATACTGCCTAATAACAATGTACCTAATGAAAATCAAATCTTGTTCTAGCAAGTGAAAATTCAACATGATTAACAATCTACTCCTAAATACTTAATTTTAAATTGGATCATATACCTTTTTTTATCAGAAGGCAAATAATTTTACATCAAATGCCACAATCTTTCATGATTAGCTAAACTTTGTGTAGACCCGAATTCAGGTCTAAAGAGTTAATTCATATTTGAATTAGACCCACAAAATGATTTCCTAGACATTAAAGTCTTTGAATCACTGCCTGAAATCTATTTTTATAAACCTGACATTATGTTTAAGATATTTATATAAATATAAACATAAACAAACAAAAAATTGTGAAATAACTTAAATTTATTTCAATCATAATCAAATTGTTGTTAATGTAAGTATTGAATACTTTATTCATCAAAATTTGTACTCTTTTTGATAAAAGTACTTATATTTTTGTTACTTTTGTGTTTGATTATGTTGAGATTATCCTTTCCAAAATGACTTTGTATTGACCCTCACTTATATTTCATCTTAGGATAGTATTTTATCTATGAGTAAATATCTTACTTCTAAAAAAAAATTGTAGTTCTCATAGAACTTATTGATTTTCTTAATTTACTACTGAAATTTTAAGTTAAATAATAATTGTTTAATTTAATTGGTTTCATTTGAATTTTGCATATCAACTCTACCATAGTAATTTGATGCTATAAATTTCTTTGTTAAATTGAATCCTTTGACTAATTAATAATTTCAACAATCACATTATTATTTAAATCTACACTTAGTATACTGATTTTCAGATTTATTATAGAATATTCCAATTCCATTTAATTATTCATTTTTTATAATTTAAATATACTTAGTATCATATAACACTACAATCTTTCTATTTTCTTTTTAATTTATTAGTTTACTAGTTTAATCATCAAAATTCAATTCTTGAGTGAGTTTATTTTTCAGCAATATCAACTAAATTCTTTCAACATATTAGAAGGAAAGGATGATTTAATTTATTAATAAGGTCTAATTCTTATGTTTGTATAAAATCATATATAATATTTGAATTAAAATATTTATATTCCATCTCTTATTATTAAAAATAAATAATCCCACAAGAATAATTTTTCATATCCTATCATAATAAATATTAAAATCACAAATTACTCCAATAATAACCTCTTTCTTTTAATAACATGGTCAATTAAATTTTTTAAAACATTTAATAATTTAAAAATGATGAACTCTATCATTGATCAATTAAATAAATAGGATTATCAAAGTAATATTTATAATTAAATTATATAAAGATTGCTTCATTTCTGTAAATAAATTTTTATAGGAGAATGAAAAATAGAAATCATTTCCAAAAGAATATCTCGAATTATTTATCACCATCTTGAATTCATTAAAGAGTATTTTAGTTGAGTAAGAGAATAAAGAATTTAAATTCAAACTTTACTAAATTCTTAGATTACTAGCAAGATCGTAAGATGTTTCATTTAATGTTCAATATCAAGAATTTATCATATAGATTGATTTAATGTAAATTATTCAAAAATAAACCTCTTAATCTTTTACTATGATGTAAATAGAAAATTTGATCATATAAAAACGATTGATTTATTTCAATTATAAGGTATGTGTTTATTTTTATTAAATTATTTTAGTTGTTAAAAACCTTTAATTCTAAATAAATAAATTTCCTCTTAGATTTAATGACATCTTCTTCAAAGGATTTGAAATTAAGTTTATTGGATTATATTAAATTAACAATTGAAATAAATGGATAATTAATATAATCTGAAATTTCATCTCTTTATTATGTTGGGAAGATGCTTGTCTTACTTGAAAATAATGATTAAGTATTAAAAATTTAGACAGCAAATTTAATTACAAAATTATTAGATTGTTATCAATTTAGTGAAAACTTTCGTATATTAATAGGAATGGCAACAGTAATTTAGGAAATAGAAAAGAAAGACAATGATAAATTAGAAGTTTATTCCTAGATTAATATAATAATTTGTTGACATTGAGAATTTTAATAAAACTTTAAATGCATATAAAAAATTAGTTGATGATTTCAATTAAATAGAACCTGAAGATTATTATGCATGTGAGAAACATTGTGATAATCTGCAGAAAATATTTATATTCAAAATACAATAAAGAAAATTGGAAATTATGAAATATTGGAATAAAAGGAAAAGGTGCATTTGGATCAGTTTATTTATGTAGATTAGGATTTAATTTTTATGCAATAAAATAAATTAATGATGTTGAAACTTTATAATATAGAGAGGTATAAATTCACTTAGAATTGAATCATCCTAATATTGCTAAATTATAAGAATGCTTTATTCATTAAAATTCATTATGTTTAGTTATAGAATATATTAAAGGAATGAATGTATAAGAATTGATTAAATATATATGAGAAAAATTAATAAATAGAAGAAGAAAATATAATGGAAAATGTTGATAGATCTACTATCAGTGTTAAGATATTTACATATTGATAAGAACATTGTTCATAGAGATTTAAATCCTACAATATAATGGTAGATTCATCATATTCAATTAAAATCTGTGATTTTGGATTGGCTAAAATTTTTAAGAAGATATCATCAATAATTCATTTGTTGGAACATTAATATACACTTGTCAATAAATAGTAGAGAATAAGGCGTATTCTGAGAAAGCAGATGTTTGGGCTTTAGGATGTATATTATATGAAATTCTTTAATAAAAGCCTGCATTTTAATCTGCAAATCCTTTGATTCTTGCAAAAAAGATTGTTTAATTAGAATATGAATAAATAAATTAAGGGATTTATAGCAACGAATTAATAAATATAGTTTAGTTATGTCTTTAGAAGGAAGAAGATAAAAGACCATCAGTTAATGAATTGTTAGAAATGATAAGTTTAAAGATGATTATTTTAATGGATAATATAAAATAAGAGAAAGATGATTTGAAAAGTGAATTACAAGATTTATATTCTAAAATCAATGATTAATAGTATGAAATAAAGAAAGAATAATAAGAGCCAGGATTATAAGTTTGGAATATATTTTAGAAACTATTACATTTATCACTTCATGATAATAAAACTATTAATGCTAAGAATTAATATTTGATTGAATAATTTAGAAAAAAGATAAGTAAACCAGACTATGAAATTAATATTTAGACTGAATTAACTAAATTAACATCTTTGTCAAAAGAATTTATATCATATTTACCAAAGATTACTTATGAACAACTATTTTTTATAATTGAGACTGAATGTAATAATAATAAATTTGATTGTATTTTTTTTTGTTAAATTAATCAATCTTATATTAAATATTTATGAACTTGGTATTATTATCAAGAATAGAGAATAAATATTGTATAAATTTAATTGTATATAATAAAATTAATGTTTGGTTAGAATGTCGATACTTAAGATCTCAAAATTCTTAAATGTGTTCATGATTATAAAATAATGAGTAAGAAATTAAAGATTCGTGCATTCGCCTAATTTCATTAATGCTAATACAACTGTGTAAAAGACATAAATTCCAAAATAGTGGAGACTTGTTTTAAGCAATGTGAATTAGGTATGAATGAACCAAAAATTCATTAGAGTTGGATAATTATTTTGAGGAGAAAAAAAAGAGAAAAATAGAGAATAAGGTGTTTTATGCATTGCCTATTTATAATAATTCTGATCCATCAAAACAATATGTGATTCCATAAGAATAATAAGGAGAATATTAAAAAAAGACTATATAATTTGAAATAGAATCGTAACGTAAATTAAATGAATTGAAAACAATTCTTGATGAACGTGGTAAAATTTATAAGTTGTGATTTAAATATACAAATATATTTATATAATGTAAATAAAATTAATTTTTAATTCTGTAGCTACAAATGGCCACTCATTATAGATTAGATGAATAGCATCATTTGCTCTCAACTCATAAAACAAAGTTCCAATTACCAAAAGGACACTTCTTATTTACATCTGAAAGTGTTAGTGCTGGTCATCCTGATAAACTATGTGATTTCATCAGTGACAGCATTCTTGACGCCTGTTTTGAATAAGATCCAAATTCTAAAGTAGCATGTGAATCAGCATGCAAAAATTCTCTTGTTATGGTATTCGGTGAAATCACTACAAATGCTTAAGTACCTTATGAAACAATCGTTAGAGAAGCAATCAAAAATGTTGGTTATGATAATATAAGTAATCCAATTAATTATTCAATCTTTTTAGGTAAAGGATTAGACTATAAGAATGCATCCATAATAGTCTCATTAGACTAATAATCTAGAGAGATTAATCAAGCTGTTGTAGGTGCTAAGCATGAAGATGAAATTGGAGCTGGAGACTAAGGACTAATGATTGGATATGCATCAGATGAAACTCCTGAGTTGATGCCATTAACTCATCATCTCTGCAATAAACTTATTGCAAGACTTCAAGAATGTAGAGAAAAAGAAATCTGTCCTTGGATGAGACCTGATGCTAAAGTTTAAGTTACTGTTGAATATAAAAGAGATGGTGCAACATTCTTCCCTGTTAGAATTCATAACGTATTAATCTCATAATAACACGATGAAAAAATCACACATAGTGAAATATAAGCTGAATTACATTAACATGTTCTCAAGTACAAGTTAATTCTATTACAAAAGGCATGTTTTACCTTAATAATATGTTGATGAACATACTTAATATCATTTAAATCCATCCAAAGCATTTACAGTTGGTGGACCATATGGTGATGCTGGATTAACTGGTCGTAAAATCATTGTTGATACTTATGGTGGATGGGGTGGCCATGGTGGTGGTGCATTCTCAGGAAAGGATCCCACAAAAGTTGATAGAAGTGCTGCTTATGCTGCCAGATGGGTTGCCAAATCTTTAGTAGCATCTAAATTATGCAAAAGAGTCATGATTTAAGTTGCTTATGGTATTGGTATTAGTGAACCATTATCAATTTCTGTTAATTCATATGGAACACATGCTGAAGGTTTTGATGATGATGATTTATCTGAAATTGTTTAAGAAAGCTTTGATTTAAGACCAGGAGTTATTATTAGAGAACTTAAATTAAGAAGACCTATTTATGCTAAAACTGCTTCAGGAGGTCATTTTGGAAGAACTGAAGCTGAATTTTTATGGGAAAAACCAAGAATTATAGATATTGCTGCATGGAAAGCTAATAAGGAATAATAACAATAATAAAAATGAATCAATGTGAATTATTTTAAAAAATACATAAACAAGTAATTTTTTTTTCATTTTTTCTTATTTAGCTCTGCTCCTAATAACTTAATCTATTCCATTAACAACAAATTATCTATCATAGTTTTCTATTATAATTTTATTCTAATAATACTTCAAGTATTTCTTAAATATTTTTATCTCTTCTTTAATTTTTGGATTACTTTAATATCCTCTTTTTCTATCCTAATTTGATATTTTTTATATCTACAAATCAGATTCAGTTAAATTTGGATATGCTTAACTAAGATGATATGCTAATAGTTTGAATGTATGAAATTCTCTCTTCAAATTCATTTGTCAATAACTATTTTATCTTTTTTTGTTAAAGGGGCATTAGAAACTTATTTTTAGCGTGCTTAAAAATTCTTTTAAATATGCACTAAATATCTACCCATATCTATTTTATTCTTTGTACTTTCTATTGTATATCCTTATTTAACTCATTTATTTCTCTACTACTATATATATTCAACTCATCCAGTTATTACTTCAACATTTCATAATTCTTAATTGAATCTTTATATTAAGATTCTAAAATTGAAAAATCTAAAAATCATAACTAAATTAACCTTTCTAATTCAATTAATTTTGCATTTTTCTGATCGTATTCTTATTAAGTTATTTAATGTAGATTTTTTCAATTTTACCAATTCTTCATTTGTATCTATTCTGTGCTATTTATTCTAATCTAATTAAACATCTTAAAGTTGTTAATATTTTTATTCTGATTTTTATAATTAAACTTAAAATTTTTCAATCTCTGACTGCATATTGTCTATTTAATTCTAATATTATTTGATTTGGCTTTAATGCTCTTTATTTTAATTATTAAATTCATCTTACAATGTTTTAATTTATTTTTATTAGCAAGATTGCACATCACTAAATTAAAATTCTAAACTGATATATTTTTTAATATTTTATTCAATTTCAAGTTTTGCATTCTTAAGATTTTCTTATAATTGCATTATTTATTAATGATTTAAATTTTCATTTTTTTTCAATGGAATCCTAAACTATTTAATGTACCTTTGGTTATTCATCCAATTAATTAATTTAAATCTAATAATTACAATAAGCTTAATCCTCTTTTTAATTTATCTCCTCTAATTTCTGATCATCATTTTAATAATGTATAAAATTCTATTCTTCTACTAAATTATCCATATCAAATTTTTATTTATTAAATTAATATTTTTCATAATTTTTTCATGTAATTCAATTTAAGTTGAAAACTTAATTATTTTGAAAAAAAAATTATGATTGAAATATATAAGAATTTTATATGAATCCTATTTTTATAAAATTGTCTTACCCCTTATATAATTATTTATATATTTAATTAATTATATTAATTTAATTAATATATTTCATTACGAAAATTAGTATTTTGATTAATATTAAAATTCAATAATAAATATTAATTATAATTATAGTAAAAAAAAAATGTTTTTTTTTAATAAATAACCTTAAAGAAATAGTGATGAACAGTGTTCATTAAGAAGATTATAAATTGACATGTAAGATTAGAAATTAGGAGAATTGAATGATGATACTTGTGAAATTGCAATGAAAATGGATCAAAATATATTGAAAATTTCAATGACTCCTCAAATTGGATTTTATAGAAATAGAAATTATTTAGTAAGATTTATTTTTATTTTAAGTTTCTCCTAGATTTTAGAATAAAATATCCAATCCTCCCTCCCAGTATATAGACTGAATCTGATACTCTACATCCAAACATAGATAGAAGAAATAAAAAATTTTACTTAAGATTATTAGAATAATAGAATTGGAAACCAATATATGGGTATATTTTGATAATAAATATAGATTAACTGAAATTGTTCAAGAAATGAAATAGACATTGATTCATGTGGATTTCACATGCATCCCAAATGAAACTACATCTCTTATGATGGCCTATCAGATTCTGAATTAAAATCAAAATGATAATGAATATGAATTAAATAATGATTATAATTTTGATACAGAAACTAATGATTTTGAAATTAGTAAAATTTTTAAGATTAATTTTGAAATTGAAGATAATGAATAATAAAATTTCTAATATTAATATGACTCTAATAATAATTTTTATAAAGAACCAAATACAATTAATTTATAAAAGACTATAAAGCGTAAATAAAATGATAATATATTTTTTATAAAAATTAAAAATTGAATATATTCTTATTATTTTTTAAAAATATAGATTAATAAATATATTATTAAAGAAAAAGTGAAAAACTTCATGAATAAATCACTCTAACTATTCAATATCTTTATTTAGTTGTTCAATTATATAAAGTTCTGGCAATAATTAAAGCATACATTATCTAGTTTCATAACTATATAGTTTATTTTATATCAATACTTTAGTAAAACTCTTTAAGATTCTTCGTTTAATAATTTGTAACTTACCCATAAAATGAGTTATTTATCTTTTTCTTAATATTTAATCTAATTTTCAAGTTCTTAAAATGTGTGTCTAACCTTTAAGAATTTTTTGGCTCTCAAAAATCTAATTTATGTCTAAAATATATACCTATATTTAATAGCAGTTTTATCTCTTTCCCAATAATTCATCAATGCCTCGCTACCTTCACCATACTTTAATACAAGTTCTTTTTAAAATATTCCTAATTCTATTGACATTTCAGTAAATCTTGGAAGAGTTAACATTTTATCTCCATTTTCATCTTGAAAATCTGCATTGTTTGTAAATATTTAGAGGAGTTTAGATTTGGATAGTTTTTATTAATGAATAGCTCTATATAAAGTTTTAAACTAAAATTATAAAGTTAAAAAAGTACCTCTGAAAATTCAATTAATTTATTTCCATCTAAATCAGCTGCTTTAAACAAAGATTCTAATATACTTTATTGATCTTTTTTATTATTTGAATATAATTCTAATATTTTAATAAGTAAATTATCATGATTAATAAAATATCTTTAATTATTTTATTGTTAATTTCTATATTATTATAATAAAGATTATATCTATTGTTAATGTAACCATCTAGATGATTTCTCTGTTAGAAATTCACTGACTTATTCATATGTTAATAATAAATCAACTTTACCATAATTGAGATCATTTTTTGATGAAAAATATTAATAACTTTCTGTTAATAATTTTTATCCAATTTCATCCATTTCTCCAACCATATAACAAAATTATGCAAGTAATTAAGCCTTGATATGATTTCCTTTTTCATAATAAATAAATTAATAAACTTAACGAATCTTTTTTTCAGCAACCTATTTAAATCCATATTTATTTTTATAATAATCATAGATACATACATGAAATGGTATCTTATATCCTTCAGCTTATTTGCAAATATCATTTAGTATTTAAGTAACTAATTTTTATAATTATAAAATTGAAAATTGTATTTTCTTATTAGGCTTTTTTTTCATTTTAACATCTGTCAATAATCCATTAGCAATATCTGTATTTTAACTATAAATTCTTCTGAATCTTTTTTAATTTTTCTATTCTAATTAGATTGGATTATATCTACTTCTTATTTTATTTTTCTGATCTTTATATTACATAATTACTGATTTCACCCTTTCATTCTAATTATTATTAAAAATACTAGGAGAAGATTCAAAATCAAATTCATCAGATTGAGACTCATCATTTTATGATGAATTGATAATATTCTTATCAACCTAACTTTACTTTTATCCTTTTTATTTTAAGTCAAATTAATAAGATGATCTTTAATTTGAGAATTAATTACTTGAATTAATAATTTCATCAAATTCTTAAGTTGACTTGATCTAAGACAGATTTTTTTATTCTAAAATGGAATGCTTTTGAGTTTTTACTGACTTTTATTTTTTTATATTTAAAAATAATTCATTATCTTAAACAAGTTATTATTTTCTTTATTAAACTGATTATTAATTCTATTATTATGTATTCTATTAAGACCCATCTATTAATTAAGATTATGAAGCCTATTTATTTATTTTTTCAATTTTCTTATTCGGTATTTATTAAGGTGAATTTCTTTAAGCATATTATTACTCATTTAGAATAGTATTATGTTCTTCTTTAAATTATTCAATTTGTAGAGAATATTTAGTTTATCTAGGAGTAATTGGTTATTTTTTAGGTTTTTAAATATTTTATAAACTAGGTTATCTTCCTTTCTTTATTTAGATACTTTAATCATTATTATTTGTTCTGATGGTTGGAGTTTAATTTTCAATAAATTAATTGAATCCTGATGAATTCTTTGTTTATTCTTAATTTAATATTTATTCTGATAAATTTCTTTCAAAATCTTCATCATTTTATTTTTTATCATCTTCTGAAACTATATATTATGAATCATTTTTTTCATTTCCTTATATAATCCTTTTTAGTTATTTTTTAGCTTTTGATCCTTCTTCTTATTCTTTGACTTTACTTCTATCAGTTAGTTAATAATCTAATTCATCTTATTCATCTATGTATTCTTCCTCTTATTAAGCATTTTTAAGATCATTATTTATATCTGATGATTAATCAAAACTCTTAAATTAAGATGACTCTTTTTCTTCTTCCAATATTTCCGGTTAATTGATTTCAATATTGTAAGTTGTTGTTATTTATTTTAATGTACCTTATAAACTACTTTTTTATTTCATTAATTTCTTTATTTAACTTTTTTTCTTTTTTATTATTTCAATAAAATCCTAAACTGCTTATGTAAGCTTAGATTCTAATTCTTAATTTACATCTTCTTTCTCCATTAAATCAATTTTCTATTGAGTTTCTTCTTTTTCTAATTGAATCAATTTTTATGAAAGTTGTTACGTTTATTGAATAGATAAATTAAGAGTCTCACATATAGATTCTTTACAATCCAGTTCTGATTCTTAAATTAGTGATATTGCCTCCTTCAATCTTTATTCTAATATTAATTACTCTTAAACAGATTTTTAATTTTATTACTCTAACTCATATTACTAATTAACAATTAATTAATCTTTATCTTATTATTATTATTCCATTTGTTGAATTTAGGATTATAGATTTTCTAATTATAAGATTTAATCATTTAATTATTATGAGTTTAAGTCTGTTTATGTTTATTTTTATTCCATATCTAATTAAACTTATATCTCTTCATCTGCATATTCAATATCAGGTTCTAAAATTTGTTGATTAATTAAATCGATTTTGAGTAGTTATTCTTATTCTCTTAGTTATTCAAATTTTTAAAAATTAGTATTCTTAACCTTATTCTTATTAAACTTATATTCTGTAGCAATAGATTTATAATTAAGTAAATGAGATACAATACTTTTACCTTTTGCTAATTGAACATCAATCTTCTAATCTTCAATTTTCTTATTATCATTATTATCTTATGTTTTAAGTAACATAATTTATAATAATAAAGAGTCAATCTCATTTTTTTATGTTTCATTTGTTTCTATTAATTATCTCATTTCTGATGTTAATAATAACATTTTTGTTTTGGTCAGATTTAATTCATCAATGGAATCAGAAGTTTCGTTTTTGATTTTTATTATTTGATTTTAGTATTCTTAATATCTAGATTTTGCTATTTCCATTTAAGAATCATGAAAATTTTAGATTCTTTACATTTATTCTAAGTAAGATTTTTCTGATTCCCTTTGTTATTCTGAGTAACATTTTATAATTTGGCCAATCAATTCCACATAAAAATCCCAAACAGTTTATAGTAGATCTCCTCTTTCTGTACATTCAATACTCACTTATCTATTTGATGATTAAAACATACTTAATTAATTCTCTAAGACATGATGCATATATAAGTTATATTCTTTCTGCTAATTCTCTTGTATTCATATTTGAACACTCTTATTTAGTATATGCAATCATCATGAATAACCAATCTCTCAAATCAATGGCTTATTACCTATTTGGTGGAATCATTTCTTTTTCTTGAATTGATTATTACATCTCTAATTTTAAAATTTCTCCAAAGTACTTTTACAAGTTTGTTGATCTTTGATTGTCTTAAAACAATTCTGTGAAATCTAATAAATGACCTTAAAACCTTTCTTTTTCTAAATTAGTATTAAAAGGAATTCGAGTATTTGTTTTACGATAAAGAGTGCCATAAAATGATTACATATTCTTGTCGTATTTCTAAATTATGTATTATAATGTACAGTTTATTAGAGCTCAGGTTCTTTGTATATGCTAGTACCAAGTTTAGCAAAGTTTCTTTTAGTGGATCTAAGATATGAAATATCAGAACAAGGTCCCAATTTTGATAAATTGATAACTGTTTAACCTTTAGGATTTAACTATTGTTTGACTGAATTTGGTATAGAAGTATTTATTAATTGATCCCATTCTATTGAAGAACTAGGAGAATGCATTTTAGATTTGGCTTTAGTTTCAAAATGATGGGCTGATTGTGATTATTGAATTTCAGGTAAATAATTTTTTTGCATAATAATTAGAAATTTGTGTTAAATAACATCTTAAATAAGACACTTTAAATTTTATTAGATTTGTTATCAATAAATTTATTTAATAATGGGAGCATGTGGTGGTAAATCAGGAGATAAACAATAACAAATGTCTAAAGAACAGAAATGTAAGTAAATTAATATGAGTTTTAGAATTGGCTGTAAATAAATTCGAAGTTGGTCCCAACATCTTTGTTAATTTAAAGCAGGGTGATATAACTGATACTTATATCATTAACAAAATATTAGGTGAAGGTATTATGATTAAATTATAAGTCAGGTTCATATGGATAGGTGCGACTTGTCTAACATAAGAAGACTGGTTAATAAAGAGCTATGAAATAAATTTAAAAAAAGAAAATACTTAAGGAATAAGAGGATGCTATGTTTAGTGAAGTGGCCTTATTAAAAGATATGGATCATTAAAACATTGTCAAATTATTTGAATTGTATCAAGATAGTCAAAATTACTATTTGGTTACCGAATACTTAAATGGAGGGGAATTACTAGATAAATTAACAAAATTAACAACTTTCAATGAGAGAACAGCAGCAGAGTACATGAAATAAGTATTATTGGCTCTTTCTTATTGTCATGCCTAAAATATAATACATAGGTATATCATAATTTTATATTTTTTAGAGATATGAAACCATCAAACATCATGTTAGCATCTCCAGATCCAAAATCCCCTATAAAAGTAATTGATTTTGGTACTGCCAAAAAATAAGTAAGTGGAGAATCATAGACTTAAGTTATTGGAACAGTATATATCTAATCTTATTATTATTATAGCCATTATATATAGCTCCTGAAGTAATAGATAAAAATTATACTGAAAAATGTGATATCTGGTCCTGTGGAGTCATTTTGTATTAAATTCTTACTGGAAAATTCCCATTTGATGTCAAAGTCTAAAGTTTACAACAATTATTCGCTAATATCAAATCAGGAAAATATAATTTTAATTCAAAAGAATTTACTAGTTTATCTTTTGAAGCTCAAACTCTTATTAAATCTATGCTTTAGTTAGATCCAAAGAAAAGACCATCAGCAAGTGAAATTTTGAATGATCCTTGGATCAAAGAAAAAGCAAAAGAAGATAAGATAAGTTTAGATGTAATGAGTGATTTGGGTAAATTTCATGTAAAAAATATTATTCTATTAATTTTTTAGAATGAAAGTAATATGAGAGCAGCTATTTTATAAATGATTGCAGGAGAAATGATGTCTAATGAAGAGAAAGATTAATTAAATTAAACCTTTTAAAGTATGGATAAAAATAAAGATGGATAACTTTCAAAAGAAGAGTTAATCTAAGGTATTTATAAGAGAAATATTAAAAAAATTAGCTTACACTCAGGTATTTAATGATGAATTAAAGGCTAAACATTTAGTAGAAGAGATATTCACATAAATTGATTAAAATAACTCAGGAAAAATAAGTTATACTGAATTTTTAGTTGCATCAGCAAAACAAAATACAATATTATCAAAAACTAAAATTGATTAAGCATTTAAAATGTTTGATAAAGTATTTAAATTAATTATCAAATAGGATGGCAATGGTTAAATTACTAAACAAGAGTTATAAGATATTATGTGTGGTGTAGATATTGATAATACCTAATGGGCATAAATTATAGCATAATGTGATAAAAATGGGGATGGAATCATCTAATATGATGAATTTGCGAATATGTTATTATAAACTGCCAAAAAATGATTTATTTTACATAAATAATATTTGCATATTTGAATTTTAATAGTTTATAAACAAAATTTATCTATTTTTATAAAACATTAGATAAAACTAAATTTATTATTTTTACAATCTTAAATGAATAGTAAAAAATATATTAAATAACTACTCTAATATCTTATTCTTATTTCTATAAAACTCAAATATATATATTTAAAATTATTTCCGTTTTTAAATAAATATATTAGATGATTACAATAAATAATCATTTTTTAGTTATAAAATAATAATATTTTTAATTGATTCATCATTTCTTATTAAAATTATTCATCTTATCTTACATAAACTTTTTAATGACTGAATCTATTTTTTCATCTAATTTCTTTTCCACTGTTTTTACTGTATCAACATAGATTCCTGTTTTTTAATTATCTGGTCTGGCATCTATAAATTTTCCTTGTTATGCTGCCATTCCTTCAACCCATTTAGATTATATATCATCTTTGATGTAATCTTTTAGATATGGAATTTTAGTATCATTTTCTTATATTTTTAAAATTAATTCATCTCTTCTCTTTTTCTCTAATTCTTACATTCTTTCATCAATTGTTTCTTAATCTAGTTTTCCCCATTCATTTTTATTATTTCCTTATTCTAATGGTTAGAAATATCTTTTGGATTCAATAAATTCCTTTTACTAATTATTATCTTATTTGAATCCAAAATATTTAGCTATTTGATCTTAAATTTCAGTTTCTCTTTCTTCACTATCATAATGAGTTAAATTATTTTGCATATAATGACTATAATATTCTAAATTAAATTTTAATTCTTTAATTTTAACTTAATTTGATTTTAACTCTGCTTATTCACTATCAAAATAAAATTCTTTTTGAAATTCATCACTAGATATGTAGACTAAAATTGTTTTAATGCAAAATTCATATTATCTTTGTTCATTCTTTAATTATTCAATTTCTGAATATCTCATAGTATTATCTTGTTTTTAAGTATCTAAATGACTTTCAGTTTAACTAAAATACTATTCCATCTTCAATGATTTTTTACTTAAAGCAGCCATTTTTTCCTTAACTTATTTATGAAGTGTAATATACCTATCCATTTCATCTAAACATTTCAAAAATAGAAACATATATAATAATTCTGGCATTTATTTTTTTTTATTATATTATTATTCTTTATAAATTTATTACATCTATTAAACCATGTTTTCATTAATAAAATATGAATCTTTAAATCCTTTAATAATTTAATCAATTGTTTCTTATTTATCAATTTGAAAGTTATTTTTGAACCAATCAAAATAATCTATTTAAGACATTTCTGATAATTATACCTTTATCTTATCTGTTCTACTTGTAAATTCCATTTTTTTTGATTTACTCATCTTAAATTGAATATCTTCTTATAAAATTTGTAAATCAATAAATTTATCATAAAATTTTAATTATTTAAGTTCTACAAGTAATAAATATAAAACATTAGCAGCCAATTCATATTATGAGCCAACAATAGGTAAACAATGTGAAAGTACAAAATTACAATATGGAGTTATTAATGATTATCCCTCTTCTTTTTTTCTCTTTTATTCATTAGCTTCATGATTCCAATCAAAGAAAGTAGTTTAATTATCAAATTGTTAAGTTTTTATTTATTCTCTTTCATTTTATATTCTAATTTAATGTAATTAAAGATTATGTGGTATGATTTTAAATTCATTCATATTAACTTTTAATAGTTCACAACATTAATCATTTGGCAATATGGAATTAAAGAATCTAGTTAATCTTCTTTCAACATTAGTTTTACTTATATCCTTTTTTTAATCTATTTAAGAAAATAATTAAGATTAACCAAATTCAAAATTTGAGGATTACATTTAATTCAATTCATCATGAAAATTAGCATCACTTTCCAATTTCTCTGATATATATGCATTTATATTCTCAAAAACTTGCTTATAATGTTTTTTATAGACATAACTAATATGTTCATATTCAGGAGTCTTAATTTTATATTTGCATTCATAACCATTCTCTTTCCTAATAATATCTCCAAATCCATTTGGAAATTCATCATCACTATTAATTAATTCCAATTCTTTAGTAAATTTTGCTAATTTGATTCCCCAAAAATATGCAATCATTTTAGATCTTCTATCCATATACTAACTAACTCTAAACATTTAATCTTCAAAACTCTTTACGACTTTTTTTTATATTTCTTTCTAAGTTTTATTATGTTTTTCTTCAACATGTTTTAATTTCTCTGATTTAAGAGCTTCAAAAACACTATATCCAAAGTCAAATACTTATCTATAGATTTCTAAAAGAAAGTTTCTACCTGGATATTCTTGGCAATCAAATACTTAATCAATTTCACCACATTCTATTCTTTCAGGAAACAATATTCTATATTAATAGACTACAGGAGCTCTTTATGGAAATAAAGAATTTATTTTCATGTAATACCAAGATTATAATTCATAATCTTAAGAAAGTTCATAAGTTCTTGTATATTTAATTTGATCATGCATAGATCTAATACGTATTTCAAAATCTCCATATGAAACACTTGAAACTTTAAAATTTGTATGTCTAATTGTAGATTCTTAAACTAATTTTTCACATTCTTTTTCCATATTTACTCCAATGCAATAAGCTAATATGTATTTCAATAAATATAACAATTGTTCATTCATACTATCTTATTCAAATGTCTAAGCATCAAATTTATAAAATCCATTATTAAATTAAGCAGAAATAAATCTAATTATCTCATAATTTAAACAAGGAATCAAATATGGTTTTATTTCATGAATAAGTTATGGTTTTGTATAAATAGGAACTTAAAAATTAAATCCTGTCAAAAAATTTCTCATTTCTTTCATTCCTGCTTATTTCATAAGACTTAACATATAAAGTGGAGCCTATTTGTATTCTGCAATGTAATTTTATAGATCCTATTTATTCAATTTGTAAGGACTTATCAAATTAATAAGTTTTGTTAATTCCTCATCTTGCAAATTTAGTTATTTACAATCAAAAATAGAGAACTTCATTCTTGAGACAAGTTATTTTATATCATCTATTAAACTATCTTTAGAATTTTATATTACAGGTTTTACTATCAAATAGATATGTTCTAGTATTATAAAATAATTAAATACCGATTTGAGTACATTCAGGAATAAATAAGGAAGCCAATTATTCAGTTATTATTTCATCACTACTAGTATAAAGATAATAATTATAATCT